TTTCCCCTTAACCTCTTTTCATAAACCTTCAATTTGCACAGATCTGCACAATGTAAACAATTTATCTGCAATTTATATAGTCCCTTCTGGTTTGCTGCTTCTTAACTCATTCAGAATTAACCAACTTTAGAACAAATTGCTTTTTTCTTTTTCTTTAACAAGTGTTTTCATAGTTTATACCTTCTATTATCAAACCATACAATTTCTTTGTAACTTAATTAGAAATCTTAATTCTTAGAAACCTTGATTGTTAGTGACAGCAAGAAGTAATTAGCATTCTTTATATTGATATTTTTATGAATACATTTCATAACTTGTAGAAGCAGGTGTTTTCCATTTGCTAACATTTGCAAGTAACATACTTCTAATAAAGTATAAAATATGTCATTAACAGATCCAAATCCATTTTCTAGCTTTTCTGTGATAAGAAGCCACATTAGGCAAACTCAGATCAATTAATATTTTAGTATCCTGTTATTTCAAAATATCTATATATTTAATAATTTTTATGATTTAACCCAGAAAACTTCTCCAAATTTCCAAGTCACCAAAGGCTTTGGAAAATTATGTTTAGGTATATATATAAAATTATTATTGAAAAGCCTTATCAAAAACTTTTCACTTTAGTTATGCCTACTTACTAGTTTTTAACAACTTTATAAGATTTTAAAGTCAATTATTACCCAAACCATTTTCTTGACAAATTCTGTAACAAAGATAACGTAAACTTATTCCTGCAAACCCAAGCAAAACAAACATACATGTTATGTTAATAACATTAAAAAATACCAGTTAAATTTAAAGCAGGCTTAATATCAAATATTTTTTCAGACCACATCATTCTAAAAATAATTTGAGGTAGTTCTTATTCTTTTTACCATACATATACATGGTGTTACTAATAATTGTAGAAAACACAAGATTTTTTTTGTTTTGACAACAGTAAGGAAGCTGGAAGACAGGTGGGGGAAGTATCAGGATTGGCTGGTTTTAGCTGCTTAAGTTTTAAAAAGTGCCCTCTTTTTCCTTCATATTGAGGTAGGGTAGTCACCTCTGCTGTTTCCATAGGATTTTGGGGTGGCATTAGTTTCCCCATTGTTCCTAGGGCCACCATAGCTCCTATGCCTCCAGAAAGAGGATTCAGAGTGTTTAAAAGACTTATCTCCTCTGCCCTGTCTAGTGTGGCTTGCTTGGGTGTTGTCCTGCAAAGGGAAAGGTCATTGGTTCAATTCCAGGTCAGAGCAAATGCCTGGGTTGCAGGCCAGGTCCCCAGTTCCTCTCACACATCAATGCTTCCCTATCTCTGTACTTCCCATCTCTCTCTAAAAGTAAATGGAAATCTTTAAAAAAAACAACAAACTTACCTCAGTTTTCATTTTTTCTTCTTTTTGAGTTTACAGTCTGGGAGTGGAGTGATAGTTCTCCCTCCCTTTGAATTATCAATTTAAATTCTGAGTAGAACCCTAATGATGTAATGACATGAAAGCTTGCACATAAGAGATCTTTTGTTTAAAAAAATGATTTTATTTATTTTTAGAGGAGAAGGAAGGGAAAAAGAGAGGGAGAGAAACATGAGTGTGTGGTGGTTTCTCGCGTGCCCCCTACCAGGGACCTGGCCTGCATCCCTTTGGTTCACAGTCCAGCGCTCAATCCACTGAGCCACATCAGCCAGGGCAAGATCTTATCCCATTTACCAGACCTTTGGCAAAATAATTGTAATTAGACATTGACTTATAGCTATAAGTTGGCCAATTAAAATGCGACCTAATGAATTCTCTGATGGGATCAAGATCAAGCCACCCATTTCAAAATAATACATAAAGCAAAGACAAACCTCAAACAAATGAGTACTCTCAAACTAAATTCTATAAAACGGGCTGAGATATTAGTGCAAATGACCTTGGACAAATTTTAAATGACACAAAGTTTAGAATGCCCAAATGACAAAGACAGGATTCCCTGTGTGAACAAAACAACAAAGAGCAAGTCAAGTCCTTAAAATACAAGAAAGCAAGTGGATAACAACTGTAGCCAAAGCTTCACTTCAGACAGACAAGAGCTCTCCCAAAGCTCCCAAACAGAACAGACTGATGAGAGAGCTTTAAAACAGAATAAATATTCAAAACCCAGAAATCTATTAACCAGAACACCAAAAGCACACTCTGAATGCCACACCAGGAAACTGGGATTTTTCTTAGTCACTGAGCCATGCCTACTGCCACGTGGCACCCTATTGATTCCTATGGAATCCCAGGCAGTTCAAAAAACCCAGATGGCGAGGTTGAGGGTTCCTGGTTGTGCACACCAGGGACTTTACCTGGTTTGGGCTTGACAGGCCCCCAGTAACCTGTTTCACCAATAAAACATTTAAAGGTGGCTGATGCCTTGAGAGGGAGAATCCCTGAGATAAAGAACTTGGCAGCTTCTGGGAAATTTGTGTAATCTTTGCAGTGGAGTCAGTCTACCACAAGCATCTGGGACTCCAGCCCAGGCACTCCTGGCCTTATCCGAGTCCACCTAGCCCCATCTGCTTCGCCAAAAATTGTAACCAAACACAGCTCCAGCTGCCCACCATTTCAAAAGCCGATACGTGAAAGGCAAGTGCTGATGTAAAAGGAAAGTGGTTTTATCCAGGAGCTGGAAGATGGGGGACTCTCATTTCAAAGCCCATCTTAGCATTTCAGGTGTCTTGGCTAGTTTAGATAGGGGAACTGTGTGAAGAGAGGAACTAAGGAATTTCTGGTGATCTGCAGTTTCTTAGCTCTGCTTCTGAGTGGTTTCAATGTTATCTCCTGTGTGCATCATCATGTAGTTTCATCACTCCATCCACAATTTCGCTGCTGATATCTGGGAACAAGATGTGCAGGCAACGTTTCTTCTGGTTCTGATATGTGTTGCTGACACTTGCCCAATTTCTTGTGGTCCAGGTCATTCCTTGGTTAAGCAGGAGCTGCAACTGCTGATGTCTATAAAATATTTATAGAAACTTGTAATACATGAATTTTCTATGAGTTTGTTAGTACAGCCTATTCCATAATCAACACCTGATTGGTATACTATGTTTACTTCAATCACTGTTACAAGAATGTCTGTAGACAGTGTCTCTAGATTGCTTCATCAAATTGTTAATGATTTCTCAAGAAAGGGGGAAACAGTGCTATTCTAAGAACAAGTCTCATGTTAATTCTTGGGCAGTTATTGAGATATATACTTAAATAACATTGTTTTTCTTACTTCTAGGGCTCTTAAAATTTATATACTAGAAGGAAAACAAATGATAAAAATCCAACAGAAATATATGAATAGTCCCTTTTTTTGCTGAAGTTTTATTTTGGAGATGGTTGTTCGAAATAAAATTGTCATCAATCAGGATTTAGAAACAAATGTTTTATTTCTGGTGTTAAGGATTAGAAAAAAGACTAATGCAAATGTATCAAAAGTATGAATTATGTGATATCTTTATAACTTCTTAATTTGGGGTTAACTGATTGCAGTGAGAAAGATTGCAGCCCAGAGGAACCGCAGGACTTCTCACCAAAGGATAAAATAGATTTCTCATAGGATTTTGGTGAATCCAAGTTTGGTGGCATTTAGGTGAAATTTAAATGAAGTAGCATTTTCATAGGATCATAGCAAAGCCAGGGATGTGTGTAAAGGAGTCAACATCAGGTCTCCACTACAAAGTGGACCTATGGTGTTGTTTCCTTGAAAACTACAAAATTAAGAGAGATGAAGAATATTGGGTTCAGAAAACTTAATTTGTAGCTCTGATATCTCTGTTGAAAATTTGCTTACTTAGATCCTCCTAGCAAAACTAGGGTATTTCAGAAACTTTCTTTATGTTGCTTCCCAGTCATTTCCCCACCTGAAAGACAGGCATTGTTTTGATGTTTTCTTTGATTTATTGGTTTTTGCCTGTCCTAGAATAGGCAAAATTTATGTGAATGGAACAATCTGGATCTGAACCGTAGTATGTTGTATCTTTCACTCAGCATAATATCTGGCAGAGCCAACTCTTTTGTTGCATCTTGCAGCACTTCTTATATTTTCACTGCTAAGTACTTTTGCATTTTATCAATATACTGCAATTTATACCTGTTTTCTCTTTGATGGTTTTATGGGTTTCCAGTTTGGGAGTATAATGAAGAAGGCTGCTAATTAATATTCTTATAAATGAAGTTTCCTATCTATATATGTGTTTCATTTCTCTTGGATAAATACCTAGTTGTAAAATATCTATATCAAAGGTTAGAGTCATAAGTATATGTTTAACTTTTAAGAAACTTGCTAAACTTTTCAAAATGATTGTTCCATTTTATATTCCCATCAGCAATTTATGGGAGTTCCCAAGTTGCTTCATATCCTTTCCAGTGTTTGGTGTTGGTAAACTTTTTAATCTTTCTTAGCCATTTTTGTGGGCATCAAGTGGTTTTTCATAGTAGCTTTAATTTTATTGTTCTGATTACCAATGATGTTAAACATCTTTTCATGTGTCTATTGGCCATTTGTGTATCTTCCTGCATGAAGTGTTTGTTCGTGTCTTTTACCCATCCATTCATTGGATTGTTTTATGTTGTTGAGTTGTAGGAGTTCTTTGTTTTCAGAGTACAAGTCTTTGTCAGACACATCTTTTGCAAAGATTTTCTTCCAGTCGGTGGAATGCTCTTCATTTTCTTAACGGTATCTTTTGATTAGTAGAAGCTTTTTTTTTTTTTTCAATGAAGTATAATGTGTTCCTTTTTTTCCCCAAGACCTTATTTATTTTTAGAGAGGAAGGGGGGGAGGAGAAAGTGAGGGAGATAAACATTGGTGCAAGAGAGAAACATTAGTCAGTTGCCTCTTGCATGTACCTCATATGGTTACCAAACCTGCAACCCAAGCACATGCCCCTATGGGGAACTGAACCCGCAACCTTTCACTTTGCAGGACAGCACGCAACCAACTGAACTGCACTGGTCAGGGCTATATTACTTTTTCTTTTAAAACTTTTGTAGTTTTAGTTTTCCTGGCCTATGCTTTTTCTGCTCTCCTATGCTCATTTATTACGGTAAAGTCTGGCAGGAAACACAGCAATCTCCCTTGCTGGTTAGGAGGGCCGGCCATCATGAGTGTAGGGCTGGCTCTTAAAGGCACCAGAAGACAATAAAAAAGGGAAAAAAACTTTTGTAGTTTTAGTTTTTACAGTTAGGTTTATGATCCGTTTGAAATTAATTTTTATTTATGGTGTAAAGTATGGATCCAGGTTCTTTTGTTTTCCATATGAATATCCAGTTTTTTCTAGTAACATTTGTTGAAAAGACTTCTTTTTCCCATTGATTTGTACCTTTGTTGAAAATCAAATCACTAGAAAAGTATTGACCTGTTTCTGGGCTGGCTCTGTTGATGGAATAGTATATATTAATACACTTTGCTTATATATTAACAAAGTGCTTATTGGATATTGGCATACATAGGAAAACCTTTTCCATTCCTGTTTGGACAGCCTTGGAGATCTTTCTTATGATCAGCTTGTGGCCAATGATATTTGGAGGCTTTCAGTATGGTCTTCTACATACTCCTGTGCTACTTTTGTTGTGTGTCACATGAGACTGATGTTCAAGTTTATTCTTTTATATTTATTTATAAATACAAGAAAGAGCATTTTTAGTACAGAGTTCTAAGTTTGGTAATTAACAAGAATCTGCAGGTACCTTTTCGAAAGTAACATAGTAGTCAATACAATTATTATAAAAACCTGGACAGGACTTAATCATATTGTCCACCAAGAGAGATTCCTTGGGTCCTTGCAATGGGAAGGGGAAGAATAGCAGAAGATGCAATGACTTCTTTACAAAGAAAGTTTAGTTTAGAATCTTGGCTATTCATATCAATATCTGTATTATAATTATCGGTCACATTCAGCAAATACTTATTAGCACTGTGCTAAATTATATGGGGATATTGCCCTCAGAAGTTAGCAATGTAGCTGAGGGATTAACAAATGAAATAAACAGAATGTAAAGTCATATGTGATTAATGTTTGCATTAATGCCATTGGAAGGTTTTTAAATATCTTTACTAGAGTTACCTATATTGTGGACCTAAATCATTATACTGAGTTTAGTAAATGTAAAAGTAAACAATAGATAGATGCAATTCACCCATGGAGAGGAGAGGGTAAGGAATTAGAAGATGGAGATATTGGGTTATCATATATAAGTTAAAATTTCATGTTTACTCTAACTGAAGTGCTGTTATCATTTGTATATGGAATTTTCTGCAACACATTCTTAAGCATGAATGGGTTTATGATATGCTGAATTATTATCAGCCATTGAATAAAAAAAGGCATTTTTATCTCCCTATTTATTATATTTCATCACTTTTAAGATGGACCCACCCCCTTCACCCTTTTTAGCATGTTTAAAAACAAGCTGTTTGAGGAGAGGTAGAAAAGGCAAAATATAGGGTGTGGCAAAAGTAGATTGACAGTTTGTGTGGAAAATAATACAATAATTAATAAATAATAATGCAAGAATAAATCCTGTGTTTCTCATACTCACAATTGTAAACCTACTTTTGCCCACTCCTGTATATGGTGATAGAAGGAGACGTGACTTAGAGTGGTGAACACGCAATGCAATATATAGATGATGTATTATAGAATTATATATTGGGTTGGCTAAAATATCTGTTTAGTTTCTTCTGTAAAATTAGATACACATTTTTCATTTTCACCAATAACTATTGATTCGGATCTCCCGTGTGGTATAACATTGATTTTTCCCATTTAATGTCTCAATTTGATTGCCATCAACTTCAGCTGGTCTACCCAACCATGGAGCACAAATAATCTCCAGCACAAAGCTTCACAAACCACTGTTGACACATTCGATCAGTCATAGGACCTTCTCCATACACTGTACAAATCTTTTTTTGTGTTTCAATTGAGTTTTTATCTTTCTTGAAATAATAAAGCTTAGTATGTCAAAAATGTTGCTTATTTTCTTTCATCTTTAATGTTAAAAAGGCTACACAAAAATTCACCAATTTCGAGGGTTTTTTTTTTTTAATGCCCATTGGAATGACAGCTGTCACAATACAGTCTAATGGAATTGTTTCAGGTAAATTTAAGGACAGTGAAGGACTATTAGAGCCATTTTATGGAAAAAAACAAATGAACTTTTTGACCAATCCAATACTTGAAACATATAATCTTACTAACTGACGTTCCCCAATATATTTAACAAAATAAAAAAAAAAACAGATTATGATCATCAACCAGTTTTGGCCAAGTAGTATAGTCCGCAGTAATTGTATGAAATGCATAAGCATCATAAATGTTGTCATATGCCTGTACAGAGTATAATAAATGCTTCTAAAAAAGAAAAAATATCCAGGAAACACTAAGGAGTATTCTTATAACACTACATAATGGTTGTGGGGGTGGGAAAAGTAGGCTAGACACACTTAATTGTAAAACCTGCTTCATAGGGGTCTCTTTTGTTGTTTTACAGATTCTTTTAATTATCAGTCTTGATGTCACAAATGATTTTGTAAGGAAGAACCAGAATATATTGAAGCTTGGAGTCAGAATGATTCAAATGACTTGAATTATGACTTTTTATGAAAACGCCAAAGTAATATATGAGAAAAATCAATGTTTAAACTCAGATATTTCTTAACATCAGTGTGAAATATAAATCCTAAATTATAAGAAAGCATTGACAAAATTTGATAGTAATCTTTGTGGTTTTTGTTTCTCCTTTGATATTACTATTGTTATTTATTGTGCTCTTTTAATTTTTTTCATGTGAAGTGACACAGTCACTCAGTGATAGGTTAGTCTATTGCCACCTCCAAGCTTTGTGATCTCTCTCAGCATTGGTTTTGCAGCTGTAAAAGATTATATTTACCTCATAGCATCGTTATATTTATTCTTTTTGACTTAAATTCCAAGAGCCAACACATACGTATACTTGAATCTCATAACATTTCAAGTAGGCTGTTCATATATCTTTCAAAAGTGAAACTTTGACATTATTAAGATGTTCTTTATTGTTCTTTTGGCACTAGAGAACAGTTAGAAAAGTTATATTTCAGTAATGAATATAAATAATTTTATTTGTTAACTAGTGGGGAGTAGGGAGATAGGCACATCAGTGTCTTTCAGTATGGAATTGTTGAACACTGTATTAGAATTAACGTGATATGGCAGTCATATGTTGCAACTCTATATAGAAACCCTGTAAATATAACAGCCACAAATATAGCCTGATGAATGATTGTTGTGTAGGCTACTCAAATATGAATGGCATTACTATTGATGATGTGTTATTTTTCCTAAACAATGAACAAGTCTTGGTAAAGTTATGAACAGAAATAAAATACAAATTTCTTTGACTTTACATAGGAGTTGTATTTTGGAAATACTCATTTTTGCCCTAAAATAGCAGGGGGAAAAAAGACCATGTGTAAAATGCACTTAGGTTCTAGGTTAATGAAATTATAAATAGGTTTTTGTTTGTTTGTTTTTTGCTTCTTTACCTACTTGAATGTCCAGCTAGAAATTGAAAAGTCTAGACCGGAGATCTTCAACTGGCATGCTGTGGTGCACTGGTGTGCTGAAAGTATTTTTAAAACATGCAATACCTGACTATTTAGTCAGAGGCAGTAACCTCTTTTCCTTAGATTATCAAATAAAAAATAACAGCCAACACATCAATAGCTGTATGGTGTGATTGAATGAAAATTAATCCTTTTTTTTTTATCAGATCAGCAAAAAATATATTCTTTGGTGTGCTGCACAATTTTAGTAATTGGATTATATGTACCATGAGATGAAAAAGGTTGAAAATTGCTCATCTAGACTATTTTTTATTGTGTAGGTCTGTTGGGTGTGCATTGCAGGACCCAACATCCTCTTTACACTAAATACAAGTAGTCATCTTAATATTTTGATAACTAAAAAATATTCCTTCCAATTAAAAAAAATTATTTGTTAATTTTAGAGAGGAAAGAAGAGAGAAACATCGATTTGTTGTTCCACGTATTTATGCATTCATTGGTTGATTCTTGTATGTACCCTGACCAGGGATTGAACCTGCAACCTTGGCTCTAACCAACTAAACTACCTGCACAGGAATCATTTCCTCCAATTTTAAGTGTCCACAGACTACCACCCTTATCGGGAACTATTGGTCTAATTGTGTAAAAGGTGAGGAAGTCATGTACTAGAATACAAAATGATATACAATATTTGAAATCATGCACTGATTAAATTTAATTAAGATGGCTAATTTGAGACTTTTAAAATTAAGATGGCTGTATTTGTATGTTCTTATGTTTCGTAGTAAAATGAATGAAAAAAAACCTGGTGACTCACAGACTCTTGGTAAGTAACTATATTTAAAATATTTTCAAATATAATTTAAAATATTGATATATTTTACTCTTGCTTTTTTATTATAATAAATCTCTAGAATACAACTCAAACAATAGAAATGAATTCCCCAATCCATGCCTACTTCATATATCTGTATACTAAAGGACAATATTGTGTGTATTCATTTCAACAAAAGTCTGCTGTAAGAAGACTATTTACCATATTTTATTTGTATTCTCTGTATGTATTTATCAGGTATAGTTTGTATCTGGGTAAAATGGTATTTTTTATTTCATAAATAATTTTTCTTAAAAAAGGAAATGGAATTAAGAACAATTTAAACAATACATAAAAGTTTAACATGAATAGGAAAAGTTACCTCTGCATGGTCACAACAGTCTCCTCAAATAGATAATAGACCTTTTTTTTTAGTTGTTGTTTTCTTCATTTATATATTGGATTGAAACAGTATTTATTGATACTATTGAAAATGAGAAATTTAAACTGTTACATTATACTCCCGTGCCACCGCTTCTACCCTCATCAGCCCTTTTTAAGATTTATTTTTTGATTCTCTCTCAAATTAAAGTATTATACTTAAAAACCTATACTTTGCCTGTCACTTATAGAGAATATCTGTTGATTCTACATTGTGTTGGGTAAGAAAATTTGTTTTCTTAAACCTCCCTCAGCTTTCCTGATTTTACCTATAGATTCCTTATCAACTATGCTAACAGTTCTGAAACTTAGTAATTCATGGACTACCTTCATGTATTTGCCAATTGCAAACACTACCTATTCTGTTATTTACTTAATATTTTTGCCAAGATTGACTCAGCTTTATATACATATATATGAATGTGTTTATTTCATTATTATAATACAGCCAGTATCATTTGCTATAGTAGAAGATGATAAGTATAATTAATTCAGAACAATTTTATTGAATTTTAAACATTAAAATTTAGAAAAAACAAAGTACAAATAAAAACAAAAGTAATCTACTTATAAAAAAACATGCCTGAAACCTAGTCTGTCCTGTATTCATGGTCTTCAATGCCACAAATGGAAAGCCACAGGATCGCTGTCTATAGCAGATTCAGGTTCATTCAAGCACACATCATGAGGATTCCTCTTCTGTAGTCTAAGCTAATTCCTCTTCTCTTGATAGCTGCATGCACACTTCTATAAAAGTGCAGGCACTGGGGATGAAGATGTTAAGGTGGGAGCTGCTGATGTAAGATGTCCAATAAACAAATGGCATTTTGCTGGAGTTAATGTGGTCAGTTACTTTATACGGGGAAGGCAGGGTAGCTGAATTCTTTCAAAAGTTTGGAGAAAGGGGCTTTCAGTTATGGCTTATCTCATTAAACTGGAGTGAGGAGGGTCAATATAGGGGGACTATTTCACAGTATTAAATTTTAGCTAATGAGGTTTGTTTCCAGCCCTGAAATCTATTTTATGACTAGCCTGTTTACAAATATATAGCACCTTTTAAACATATAACATCCATTCTTGATTAGTTAAATAGGACTAGCTGCTGTTATAGGTAAACCCTGAAGTCTTAGTAGTTTAACACAAGAAAATTTTATTATGTGCTCATGTTACAGGCCAGTGTGGATTAGTTAGGGGAGGTGGAACAGGTAGGGAGTTTCTGTTCCATGCAGTCATTTAGATATCCAAGCTCCTTCGACCTTGTATTGATTTGCCACCTTGAGATCCTCAGAGCCTTTTTGCTTCAGCTAGTGATTTTCTCATTGTTTTATTAGTACATTAGAAATTTTCTGTGCACATAAACATTGCAAGATAGAAAAGATTGATAGGTGTAATATTGACATTTACTCAATTCTATCTGTGTCACACCCTTTTAATTATATTACTATATACTATCTTGTTCTCATTAAAACACAGTTTGAGGTAGGTACTGTTGTCCTTATTTTTAAGAGGAAACAGCTGTAAACTGTTTATGTGACCTGTCCAAGGTTTGTACAGTGAGAGTGTAGATCTGAGTCTTAACTCATATCTCCCTGACTCTACAATTGCCTTTTTAATATTATTATTTAGTTTTTATTCACCTCACTAATATTTATTAAAAACCTGTTATATTCCCAGTACTGTGCACTGGGAGGGATATAGATAGTAACCTCGAGATCTTAAGCATTCTTGATCTTACCATAGTGAAAGTTAGTCATACATACACATTAAACCAAGCAACACTAAGAAATCTCATGGAGGAGGATTTTGCTCTTAGAGTTGCTATGAATTCAAGGAGCAGTGTGAGATGTTTGGGTTAAGATGGTCTTGGGAGAATTTATCTTGAAAGTTGAAACCTACGGAGGATCCAGACAAAGAGAAGAGAGGAAAGAGGAGGGCACCTTACGTTTGGGCAGTACCTGTTTCTTCCCACCACACCATCTTCCTCCCTAATTTTTCTCTGGTCCTACTCTCAGAGAAACCAGAAATGTCAGTGTGTATCTGTGTGGCCCAGTAACTGAGGGCTAGTGCTAATTTACATATTGGTTATATTTGGTTATATTTCCTGTTCTGTTTTCAGTCTGCTTACACTGGGATCTGTATTCAGAGGTAAAGGAAAGAGTTGAACATTTTTCTGAGAGCACTGTTCCCTCATGTAAAATATTAATCTGACTTCCCAGGAGAGAAATGAAGTGGTTGAGGGACATGCTAATTGGTAAGAGGTAGAGGCAGGATTTTAAGCTGGCGTGGATCCGTTCAGCCCTGGGGAAATGCAGCTGGAAGGCTCTCTGGATGCTGTACTCATCTATGTGCAGTAGCAGCCTGTGTTCCTGAAATGGGCAACCTGAGGAACCTGCAGGCCGTGTCACGATTCCTTCTGAAAGCAACTGTCAGATTCACCACGGACTATAAAAGAGATAACTTTGTTATTTTTTTAAAGGGATAAGAGCAGGAATGTTGGAAACTTACGCTTTATTTAGAGCCTGCCATCTTGCCTTGGTCTCACAAGGGAGAATGACAGCATTGTCACAGTGGTTTCAATACATGTGATGGTTGAAATATAGATGTTAGATTTTGGAGCTTCTCTGAATTGCTTGTAATCTGGTGACCTGTAAGTAGCTTGCTGAGAATATGAAACCCTCAATTTTTTTTCCCACCCTTCATTGCAGATAGATGTTTGGTATCTCATTATATTAAAAACAACATTGTGTATACATTCGAGAAATGTAGTATAGTGATAAAATTACTAACTTCATTTCATATTTTATCCAAAGTCATACATTTGAAAGATTACAGGACATCGCATGGACATGGGTAGATTTGGCTCACTCTTATTTCCAATAGTGTCACAAAACAATTTTGCTTTCTTTGAGCCATTTTCAATGAGGTTGTCGCAGGGAGTGCTGCGCGGGGCACTCTTGGATCTGAGGGTCACTGTCCAGAGGCAGCTGAGGAAGGACCGGGGCTCTGAATCCCACAGAGCCCGTTCCAGGGTTGTCATGGATGGGGGAATAAACACGAGTTGTCACAAACACTCCTCTGTTTGCCAGGAGAGGGGACGTGGTTCTTCCCTCTAGTGGGAAGGCCCTGAGCCCCCAAGTGTCTAAAGGCTTCTATTTAGAACTGAATGCACAGGGGTGTGGATGCAAAGCTCATCAATCACTGTCAAAAGGCTATGTTTACAGAAAACAGACAGAGATCATAGATAACAATTAGAGGAACACAAGAGGTCTGCCTCAGGTCAGGGTCTGTGAATAATGTAAATCTCCTTCCTAGTATGAGCCGATTATCAGGTCTTTTGAGGGAAGAACAAAGCATGCTTCAAGGAACTTAATTCTAGGCCTGATTACCCCCTGGGAACCTCGGGATCCAATTTAGAGCCATACCTACCTATAGTATTGTTTCAAGCCTGAGCCTGGTGGCAGGGCAGAGCCACCAAGAGATAAGGAGACTTTTTTTCAGATAAAATGAGGATCCTGGCCATGTCCAAGCTGAGCCAAGGGGTGCAGGGGTGCGGGCCTTTTTGCCCTTTCTCCATGTCCCCAAAGTCCTTGTCTGCTGCCCATACCTGCCGTGTTTGTCTCAAGTTGTCCCTCCTCATGAAAGATCTTACCCATCATTGACTACCAATCATCACAGGGCCAGTCAGGGTGATGTGAGGGAGGCAGGAGCTGCATCCTTGCCAGGGGGACAGATTTTGTCTCCTCAGTAGCCTGTTTTTCCACGACCTCCTTGATTATTTCCAACCTTGGGACCACTTGCCTGTCGGCAAGGCTACAGTCCCTAAAACCAGACGGGCATTTCCCAACAGAAGGTACTTGGAAGTTTGGGTAAGATTGTTACATCAAGACACATTTATAAAGTTTGGCAGCAGCACCATCTTATAGTTTACATAGGCCCTCTTCCTTTCTTTTTTGGCCTTTCTTGCATCTCTTTTGTCTAAGTTGCTCTAGATTCTGGTGGGCTTTCTCCTTTCTTTAACACAGTGCTTAGGCTTTGAATTTGCAGAATTATCTTCTCTAAACACATCTTTGGTCATATCACTACCAAGTCAGAAGTCTTCATTGACACCTGTTTGCTCCCCAAATAAATTACAAACTCCTCAGGGTGATAATTAGGATCATCCTGTGTAACCACCATCCAGAACAAGAAGTAGAATAGAAACAGCACCCAGAAGCTGTCCTTGTTATTGTTGCTCCTCCCCAAGAGTAATATCTGACCTTAAATCTTCTTCTGCTCATCCTTATGTTCATGAAATTTATCCATGTTATTGATTATAGTGGTAGTTCATGTCTGTGAAGCATTATGTACATACTTCCATCAGCAAACTTGGTGTGTATAAGGCTCTTCTGTATGTGGCTTGATGAACAATGAAATCCAATTAGGCATAAGCTAGTCATACGGAAGGTTCAGTGTGGCCCTTCTGGGACCTTTAGTTTATGTCCAGACCTCCTCAGGAGCCAGAAACAATGCACAGGAGTGCATGAGTGAGCAGACCACAACACTTTAAAATAGCTCTTGTTTAGAGCTGAGTTTCTCAAACTTTTTTCTAAAATTATTACTGTGGTAAAATACACATAAATACAAAATTCACCATATTATTTATTTTAAAGTATATAATTTGGGGCATTTAGTACATTCACAATGTTGTACAACCTCTAGTTCCAAAATATTTTCATTGCCATCAGAGGGAACTGTACCCATTAGGTAGTCATTTCCGCTGTCCTGCTTTTTACCAGTCTGCTTTTACTGTATTACCTGCTTGCCCTCTGTTAGCCTTTGCTTCAAGCTGCTGCAGCTAGTATATTTGTCCTAAATGCTTTTGACAGATGGTCATGCTCCAGTCCTGAGAAAGTTCTGAGATAGGAAAAACAAGGTCAAGCGTCTGAGCACGTGCCTCAGCCACCACACAGGCAAAAACAGTCACATTTTTTTTAGAACAGAGTCCATATTGCCTCCTCTAGACAATCTACACCAGGAACATGGGCCATCATACCAAGGACCATCATACCAAAGGCCATATTGCCCAGGTGGAGATCAGGGGGTGGTAGGTAGGTAAGCTAAAATGCCACAATGCTCTCATCAAAGTATAGCAACTGGTTTCTTTATTAAGCATACTCCTAATTATTTTATGTTTTCAAATTAGATTTCAAAGTTTCTGAAAAATTTATTCTGACATTTTTTGTCAGCTTGATTGTTGCTTTAATGGAGTTTTAAAAACTCCTAATCCATTGTTTTCAGTGATGTTACCCTGCAAGTTGCCATTTAACTATACACTCATCATTAAGAATTAATGAGTAAAATGTAAAATCACATTATTGTTTTAGAAGAAGGTGTTGGGAATCATAAGTTACTGATAACAATATAACGTGATTTGCTCACACAGAAAGAATTGAACACATCAATTGAGGAAAGCACTAATTCCATAGATTTTTTTTTTTTTAGAAACTTAAAAAATATTTTTGTCTACTTACTTTTTCACTGTTAGCTTGTGTTTTCTGTCGAAAAAATGATGACTGCCCTAATAAATATGGAGAAAAAAAAACTAATGAGAAATGGAACCTCACTGTCCATTACTATTGTTTGGTGAGTATAATTTATAATTAAAACTTAGAAATTTGATACTCTTTTAAAGAAGATAATTAGATGCTGATGACTGTTTTCTGAGAATTGGATAAATCATTTAACTTCTATATACCTCCTTTCACCTATATGTAAAAATAAGATTTTCATTTATCAAATTCCAAGATTCTAAAATTGCTTGGCACGTTTAAAAACCTGTCATTGTTACCTGTTTATTTTTGTCTAACCCATTAGGGCCTAACTAACAAAAATAGTTTGGTCTAAATGAAAGTTATTCTTTTTACCACTTCTTGTTTTCATTGTTGCTAGTGATAAATCTCATGAAAGACTTGTTCATAGGTTGAGGGAGTAGAGGAAACGCATTTTATTTCAAAGAGACCCTGGAAAGAAAAGTTCTGACTAAAGGTAATACTTGTAGAAGAGTAAATAAGTTAATTTATGGTGGGTCACTCAAAAGAAAAAGAAAAGTGATTTCATAGTGAAAATTAGTTTTTAATTTGTTCCCCATTCCCTCCACCCAGTTCTCCCCACACTGAATTTGTGTCTTAAGTTCTTATTTTCTGGGTGCCTCCATAGGAATGTCTATAGCATAGACTCTGGCTTCTCCCAGAGCAAGTGATAAAAAAGAAAGAGAGGGATAGAGAGATAAACCAAGATGGAATCATATCACCTAGCTTTAACAGTCACTTTCCCTTTATGCTGTTTGTTAGAAGCAAAGTCATTAAGGCTAGGCCACACTTAAGGAGAAGGGGACCAGGTCCCGCCTCTTAAAGGAAGGAGTATCAACAAATTTGTGGACATATTTTTATACCCGTCACATTATTCATGCTAAAACTCTATAGATGCTTCCTTGAGAAAACATCTAACATATTCCTTGGTGGCTCTCTAAGACTACCGTTTTGCATCTCAGTTAATTAGACTTGTAGACTGGTCTAAAAACCAAATTCCTTTGTATCAAGTCTTAAGGGAACATGAAGCTGGCATTCCAAATTTGTATGTAAGTTGGGGTTTATTATATTTTGTATCACACAAGAAAACTTTTTCACTTTTCTAAGAGTTTATTTCAGTTTTTTAAAAAAATACATTTTATTTTTGACTTTAGAGAGAAGGGAAGGGAGGGAGGAAGAGAAGGTGAGAAACAGCAATATGAGAGGAAACTTCAATTGGTTGCCTTCTGTACATGCTCCAGGGGATCGAATCTGCAACCTAGGCATGTGTCCTGGCTGGAAGTCAAACTGGAGACCTTTCGGTTTATGGGACAATGACCAAGCATATCAGCCACATTGGCTGGGGCTATAGTACTTTTTATGTAGTAGAATTAGGAGAGCTACTTTATTTGTTAGTGGGTTATTTATTTTTTTTCATAGCTAATTCTTAAGTAATGTATATCACTTGGTTTTCTTTAGGATATATTGATTAAAATAAACCTCTTTAATCAAAATTTTGAAATATTTTTGAATTATTTAATATATTTAAAAAGATATTGACCATGGGCTCAACACTTACAGCATTTTACTTCATTGTGAACAGGAAAGTATAGTAATGTTACAAATGGCAGTGGAATATTAGAATTGAAGAGACTTAGAGACAAGCTAGTCTAGTCTAGTGTTTTTATTTTTGTGTTTAAGGTCAGAGACATTAAATTACTTGCTTAGGGGTCCAGAAAGTTGGACACAGAGCCTGGTTTGCATGCAAGTGAGTGTTTCTTATTAGCAGTCCCATGCTTTTTCTTGTTTAATGATGCTCTTTTAACATATTTAAGCTAAAGTTAAAAATCAGATGTTTTAACATGTAAACATTTATGTTAATTACAATTCATTAGGTTTCCCTGTAAATATGCCTTTTAGGATTCAAAATCCAGCTAGATTTACAATTAGCCTGAAATATCACTGGTAATCTCTATTATCTTCATACTATATACTGTTACTATATTTACACCTTTCAGCATTTATCCCCTTTTTTCCCTAAACCTTAATTATAGATATTTTTTGTTTTTCTTTCTTTGTCTGTTATTTTCTGAAATACTTTAGAAACCAGTTTCATTATATGAACTATTAATGTGCAATGTCTTTCCAGTCAAAGAATATGAGTAGCTTCTTTCTTTGATCATGAAAAATAACTATTAAAGTTAAGAGGTGCTTGAAATTTGAGTTGTTCTATGCTTATTCTTATTAAAATACTACAGATATATTTTTATTACAAACTAGTTTCTTAGAGCTTATTTTCTAACTGAGAATATATTCATAGTTGATGTCAAGTGGAATTTGGCAGAGAGGTAAAGAAGAAGAAGGAGTTTATGGTTTTCTAATAGAAGACATAAGGAAAGAAGTGAATAGAGCTTCCAAACTGGTAAGTAAATTATTTAATTCAGTACACTAATACCATAAATATTGTTAATACTAGGGAAGTCTTCTTCATCAGTTTCTGCACTAGAAATTTGTAAGACTTTGATTTATGTTCCAGTGCTTACTCTTGTCAAATGTGAATTTTGGAACATTTGTATATCTTGCCCCTGGTTAATATATGTGACAATGTTGATTTCACTTCCTTTATCTTAGTCCAACCAACTCATCATTTTACCCACTCCTTTTTTAAAATGTAGTTATTTATTAGAGAGAGAGAGAGATATCGATTTACTGTTCTACTCATTTATGCATTTATTGGTTGTTTCTTTATATACCCTGACTAAGGATGAAACCCACAACTTAGTGTATGGGAATGGCACTCTAACCAACTGAGCTACCTGGCCAGGGCCATTTCACTCACTCTCCATCAGAATTGTGAACAAACTCCACACTGCTGTTCTTTAAACCTGAGTCAATCCAGCCATTCACTTTTCATTCTTATACTTCAGTTTCTGGGTTGGAATGATGATTTGAGAAAAAATTACTCAACTATGTAGACCAATAATTTATGATCTCCACACCTCTTGTGGCCCTTCTGTGACAATGCATGCTTGTGTTCAGTGCCTTCTCCTGTTCTCCAAGATAAGTATTCTAAACTTTAACTCTTCATTCATTTAATTATAATTTGTAAGTCTTCTGTGTGATAGCTACTAGATTATGTGCAAGGAAAGGACTGTAGGTTTCCATGTGGTCTGACTAGAAATAATGAAAATGAGAGAATGAGTAGGTAAAATATGAAGATAGAGTAGTGGCCTACAATCTGCAACAGATAATTAAAATAATGTTTTATTCCCTATTTTAAAGTTAGTTGAGGCAAGGAAATGGAAGCAATTATTTTTTAAGATGTTGAGGATACAGAAGACTTGATGGTAAAATAGAGGCTCTAGAGCACAAGGGAAACCCTTTGGAGAAAGTTGATCAGTGGCCTTCATCTAAGGGCCACATGTGAGTGTTAGCATCAAAATTCCTCAACCTCCTGAAGACAGTGAACTTGTGAAAGATAACCTCTAAAAGTCCCCTTACAGTTTGGAAATACCTGATTTCTTAAAGCATCTGAATTCTCTCTTGAGTATACTGTATTGTGAACTTTTGAAAATATCTCCATTTGTGACCTTACACTAGAATTCTGTGTATCATTTTACTGGGAGAGTATCAGGTTGGCAAAGTATTCTCCTATGACTTGGTGGTGCTTGAGGAGTTAGCATTAACACAGTATAATCTCTTCATCAGTGACCATTATAATGGCCATCTCAAGGATTCCATTTGAGATGCACCAGAAAAGGATGCACCAGAAAAGGATGTTTTAGTACTGGTCTGTATTTTAGTAATGACTGATTCATCTAACAGCCTTTCTGTTTGTATACCACTGTTGTATTTCAGTTAAGTGACAGTGGTATGATGTTTCTTTCCCAGAGCTGTCATAATAAATTACCACCAACTGGGTTGCTTAAAACAGAAATTTATTCTCTTACAATTCTGGAAACCAGCAGTTCCAAATCAAGTTGTCAGAAGAATTGATTCCTTCTGGAAGCTCTGAGGGAAAATCCATTCCATGCTTCTCTCCCCACTTCCAGTAGCTGCTGGCAACCTTTGCATTTCTCGATTTGTGGCAGCATAATTTCAGTCTCTACTTCCATATTCACATGGCCTTCCCCTCTGTGTGTCTGTGTCTTAAATCTCCCATTCTTTTCACTTACACAGACACCAGTCATTTGATTTAGGAACCACTCTAAATCCAGGATAAGCTCATCTTGAGATCTTTAACTTACGTTTACAAAGATCCTATTTCCAAATAAGGCCACATTCATACTGGGAGTACCTAATATGAACGTGGCCTTGGTACCAGGAATTAAGACGTGAACATGTATTTTTTGGTTCACTATTTAATTTACTATGAGTATCTAACACTTTTTCATTTGGTTAAGATAAAGTGATCGTAGCCAATATTTCTACAGATTGGTTTCTAGTATTCTTTTACTGTTCTCCTTGGTGAGTATTTTTCTATTGAGATTTGAATGAGACTTTCATGTTAGCTGTTATGTTTATAAACCCTTCTGGTTCTTTTAGCAAGTAGGAAGGAAAAGAAGCTTCTCTTTCTCATTCACATGTTAAATTATAAATGTTCCCTATATCAGAAATTGTTGTAGGAGTGAATCTTTAGTGTCTTTAGGTTGTTTCTGGGTAGAACAGTTTCCACAGGAAGTTTCTTTAATATACCATCATGATGAAAATAATTTTCATACTCCACAAAAGAAATATTCATGTATACCTAGGTCATATTATTGTGCTCAAATTCTCTATATTATGGCCCCTATTTTCTTATTTTCTTCTAGAAATGCTGTGTTTGCAAGAAAAGTGGTGCTTCAATTGGATGTGTTGCACCTCGATGTAAACGAAGTTATCATTTCCCATGTGGACTTCAAAGAGAATGTATTTTTCAATTCACTGGCAATTTTGCGTGAGTTAACTGTTGAATATAAGGGATGATGTTTAAAGGAAAGTGGATAAAGGATATGGGTATTCCAAAGACAAAATTTTTTTAAAAAATTTTTAAAGCTGCACTGAATTTACACATTTTATATATATAGTGTATAAATATATAGACAGGGAAAATATATGGAGTCATTTCTCCCTGAAGAATCTTGAGAATTGCCTTGTGTGAAATGGACTTATTTACCTTGAGCTTTCAGCTCTGGAATATAATATGGAACTGTTAATGTGTATTCATAGTATTTTTCTTTGAGTAAATTGAAGGTAGAGAAATTTGGTGGAGTCCAAAAAATGAATATCTTGCCCTCGGATGCTCCTGAAAATACTGCTTTCTGGATCCAGATTTAAGCATCAAAATTTATAAATTTTGATATTTGGTAACATGAGTTTTATGTTTCTTTTAGTCTTTGTGCTCTTGACCAAGTTAATAGATTTTTACTATGTACAAAAACTGCAGTTTCAATAATATAAATGGAAATAAATGTAGTGGTTTAGGAATAAGTTATTCTCATTTGTTAAATGATTAAATATTTAAATTTTAAGTTCCTTTAATTTTGTACAGTGTTGAATACAATGATGTGTATATTCTATTGCCAACAATATTACATGGGATTCTCAACATAATTTTAGTTACTGAAATTCTGTGAGGTAAGTCTTATCACCAGAGGTTTACATTTGGAAAGTTCAATTCACCATGGTCATAGTTTATAAAACTGATGTATAGTACCAAGGTTCCAGTCTAATGTAGGTTAGTAATGAGAGATATATGAATACATTTTCTCTTATAAATGTGAATTGTAATGCTAATGTAGTTGTGCTTTCTAATTTATTAGATGTTGGTTTTAAATAATTTACATTTTTAGGTCGTTTTGTTGGAACCATCGACCTGTTCAAATAATTACACCTAATAATTATAGAGACTCAATACCATGCACCATTTGCTTGGAATTTGTTGAGCCTATTCCAACTTACAACATACTACGAAGTCCTTGTTGTAAGAATGCTTGGTTTCACAGAGACTGTTTACAGGTAAGATGTTTTGTAAACTTGTTCTGATATAAAATTTGTTCCTTGTTGAATTGAATTTAAAATTAGAAAGAATTAACATGTGTAATTTAGCTAATATTATTTGTAACTTGTAAAAACAGCTTTATTGAAACATTTTACATATAAAATTCATCCATTAGAAGTATACAATATTTTATTATTTTATATACTACCCTTTAATGTATATTTACCTGAGGACTTAGTTTGTATTTCACAGTGAATAAAAAGCAGATTTTAATTCCCAAGTTATTTACATATTTAAACTTACAGAACCAAGATAAGTGAAACAATCATTTAACTGTAAACTAAGATATTTAAATGTTACTGGCATTTTTTCTTATATGTCAAGCATGATAAGTTTTCAAGTAAATGAAGTAACATAAAATGTGGCATTAAACAATTTAATAATATTTTATTCAGAATATACTTGAAAGGTAAAAAGATATCAGTTATTAAAAACATCTAATATGTAGTATACATGTATGAAAGTGCCAACTGATAGTTATAGTTAATAGAATGCCAAATAACAAAGGATTTACTTAAGTTTAATACTATTTTTTAAAGCTTATCTTTCATTGTTGCCTACTAAAATGAAACATTACTACTGATTACAGATTATCCACAAAAGTATTTTTTTAAATTAGGAAATATTGTAAATCCTCTTATATTTCATTACTCTTAAAACTACTAACAGTAGTCAAAGTAGTAAAGCTTAATTGATTACTTTTAATTTTTTTGTATGAGCCTTAAACATTTATATTTAGTACTATTCAGTGAGAAGTGGCAGGATGGAGCGTATTTTGTTGGGTAAATATTAGAAATTCTGTTAATTCTTACAAAGAAGTGTTTGTAAAAGGACCCAGAGGGCACAGTTCATATGTGGTTAAGCAAATTTCATTGTTTTTACCACACAAATGATACATTGGGATTTCGTGAGGAGAGGCTATTATGTTAATATCAAAAAAGTGATGGGAACTTTTCACTCTGGGTATGTACAGAATTGTCACTATTCTTGCTCTGCTTGGATTTCTCTATTGTTGCTCTGGTCTTGCTTCCATATTGTTGTTTTTTCCCCTCCATACTAGATACTTACTTTCTCGAAATTATATCATACAATTACTAAGACCTTGGTATCTGTTTCAGTTGCTATCAGACCCTTTAGGTTCAGAGATTTCAGTAACTTGTTGCTTTCATACCACATGGAGGGGGTGGGGTGTGTCTGTCTGTCTAGCTCCTGGGGGGAGGTGTGGCGGGGGGTGTTACTTGCTCCTTATTTGAGCCTGGATTCCTCTTTTTCACTTCTTTCTTCACTGAGCACAAAGCATTCACAAGTCTATCAGGTCTTCCTAATATATATTTTTGGTTGTCCTTTTTTGTTGCTGTTCTCAGCCTTCTATGTGATTTAACTTCAGGCACTTTTTTTTCTTTAACTAGATTTCTCTTGCATGCTTTCCTATCATTTCTTCACTCTGCTGTCTTTGATTTACCTGTTTAGCCTCCTTAACTTAGTTCAGTGTGGACAACATGTAATTTCTAAGTATATTGTTAATTAGTTTTCTAATAACATGTGTTTTCTATCACCACTGAGGCTTGATAAATGCTATTTTCTAGTTTTATAATGTTTTTTGTCCCATTTTCCTGGCAGACCCCTGTATCTTCCAAAATTAGCTTTGACTTCACCATCCCTGTGATATTTTTGTCAGACTCTTATTTTTTTTTACTTTTTAAGAATATTTTATTGATTATGCTATTACAGTTGTCCCATTCTCCCCGCCCCCTTTATTTCCATTGACCCTATACCACCCCACCCCCCAGCATTCACCATCGCCCCCTTAGTTCATGTCCATGGGTTATACATATAAGTTCTTTGGCTTCTCCATTTCCTATACTATTCTTAACTTCCCCCTGCCTATTTTGTACCTACTGTTTATGCTGCTTATTCCCTGTACCTTTTCCCCCATTCTTCTGCCTCCCACCCCATTTTACTGTTTATAGTTTTTGATCTTTTTCTTAGATAAGTCCCTTTAACAGTTCATATAATATAAGAGCTTGGTTATGATGAACTCCTTCACCTTATCTAGGAAGCACTTTATCTGCCCTTCCATTCTAAATGATAGCTTTGCTGGATAGAGTAATCTTGGATGTAGGTCCTTGCCTTTCATGATTTTGAATACTTCTTTCCAACCCTTTCTTGCCTGCAAGGTTTCTTGTGAGAATTCAGGTGATGGCCTTATGGGAACTCCTTTGTAGATAACTGTCTCCTTTTCTCTTGCTGCTTTTAAGATTCTCTCCTTATCTTTGATCTTGGGTAATGTAACTATGAGGTGCCTTGGTGTGTACTTCCTTGGGTCCAACTTCTTTGGGACTCTGAGCTTCCTGGATCTCTTGGAAGTCTATTTCCTTGGCCAGATTGGGGAAGTTCTCCTTCATTATTTTTTCAAATAAATTTTCAATTTCTCGCTCTTCCTCTTTTCTTCTGGCACCCCTATGATTCAGATGTTGGGAGGTTTAAAGTTGTCCCAGTTGTTCCTAAGCCTCTCCTCATTTTTTTGAATTCTTATTTCCTCATTCTGTTCTGGCTGAATGTTTATCTCTTCCTTCTGGTCCTCATCATTGATTTGAGTCCTGGTTTCCTTCCCTTCACTGTTGGTTCCCTGTATGTTTTTCTTTATTTCCCTTGCATAGCCTTCGCTTTTTCCTCCATTTTGCAACAATACTCAAACAATCCAGTGAGCAGCGAGATTATCAGTGTTTTGAACTGTGCATCTGATAGGTTGGCTATCTGTTCATCACTTAGTTTTATTTTTGGAGTTTTAATCTGTTCTTTCATTTGGCCCATGTTTCTTTGTCTCAGCGCGCCTGTTATGTTGGAAGGGGTGGAGCTTTAGATATTGACCAGGGCAGGGCAACCCAGGTTGCCAAGGTGTGACACTGTGTGTGATGGAGGGGTCCGAGAGGGAACAATGCCACTTGATCAGCTTTCTGCAGGCTTTCAGTCACTTCCCACGCCGCCCCCACCCCCCGCCACTACCCCATAAGCAAATTGGGCCCGTCTGGTGCTGATTGCCGGATGGGCGGGTTTGTGTACATTCTAGGACCTTATAGGTCTCTCCAGTGGACTTCTCCTGCCGCTGCAACCCCCACAGGTTTTTATCTTCAGAGGTTTGGAGGCTTTCTTTTCCCCGCACTGGAACCCTGGGTTGCATGGTCTGTCTCACTCCCCAGCAGTTCCTCACGGTTTATCTGCATGCAAATGTGGGACTGCCCAGTCTGCCGGCCCCTGCTGTCTGCCCAGTCCTCCAGCCACTGCCTTGGCCCGTGTCCTCTCCGCCTGTTTGCCTGTCTCCGCCCTTCCTGCTGGTCTGGATGAATGTTTCTTCTCTAATTCCTTGGCTGTCGGACTTTTATACAGTTTGATTTTCTGTATTTTTTGTTTTTAAAATTGTTGTTGTCCTTATTTTGGTTGTGTAAGGAGGCAGTGTGTATCTACCTATGCCTCCATCTTGGCCAGAAGTCCTTTTGTCAAACTCTTGTATAGACTGAGGTACTTCTTCCTCTCGCATATATATGCTTTAAAAAAACTTTTCCTTGGAGTAAAACCCAAGTCATTTTATATTTCTATTTTTGGTACAATAGCATAGTGTTTGACACCTATATAGAAAGGGTTAAATATTTGTTAAATGAATATGTGCTACCTTTTTCTTTTTTTTTTGCTGGGATTGGCTACTCTTCCCAGTAGATTATAGAGTTTTCTGTCTCCTGCATGTCCTCTGCCTGCTGCTTCTGTGCTGGTATTTGTTAGAGTGAGAATAGGTTTTATATTTTTCCCCACTTAGGAAGAAAACTAAACAGATGGAATTAGAAAAAGAATCAAGGATACTTTTTAAGTAACACTTAAACATCTTTCCTAGATGAAGTAATTCAAGATTTTTACTATTTTATTCATAGAGATGGGCAACATATTATTTGGGAAAGAAATGATATTAGACACCAAAGTTTGAGAAGACTATATTGGTGAAGAAATAGTAAAGCTACGAATAGTCAGTTCATTAGCTTAATTGTTTTGACCACTGGGGAAAAAAGATATCCAAATTTTAGCAGTGAGATAACTTAATCAATGTTTGAGAACCATTAACATATAAAATAAGATTTCATAATATAGTAAGTGAAAAATAGCACATGTTTTGTTAGCTATAAAGTTTATGATCAGATAACTTGTTAAATTGCTAATAGGTTTTCTATTTTTTTATAATAGGTTCAAGCAATAAATGCAGGAGTGTTTTTCTTTAGGTGCACAATATGCAATAATAGTGACATGTTTCAGAAAGAGATGCTGAAAATGGGAATTCATATTCCTGAAAAGTGAGTAACATGTAGTCTTTTGACAAAAGGTATTTTAAAAGTAATATTTAATAACTGGAAATAATAATTTATGTCTGATTATGTGATAATGGACAAACAGACATTTCAAATGAGGAACTGTAAAGCCACCCTTGCCACTGAGTCCTTCTCATCAGATTTCTAGTTCTTGGGAGCAGGGACTGTGACTTAAATGTCTCATTAGTTGATTTACAGTCTCTTAATAAACACCTTACTTGTAATACAGTATTAATTGATTTATATACAAGTATAGTAGGCTTCAAAGTGGTATATATTTATTAAGAGAATTAAGATGTGATTTAAAATGTATGAGAAGAGGCTGACTGATGACAGATGGGGGTGGGGCTGGATAAAAGAAGGTGAAGAGATTAGTCAGGGAACACAAGCATAGCCCATATACACAGACAATAATGTAGTGAAGGCGGGCGGGGGGGGGGGGAGGTGAGGGCAGGGTAGAGGGAAGCAGAGGAGTGAAAATAGGGGGCTTCTGTAATAGTGTCAAAAACAAAAAATAAATAAAATGTATGAGAATTTTCTTAATACTTAAAGATGAGGAATCGAGAAATGTTAGTAAACTTGAAATTTTAAAAAGTGGCAGTGAAATGTTAAAAATGTAAGTTAAGAAAATTTCTGCTTAATTTTTCATTTAGCAGTTGAAAATTCACTGAGAGACTAATTAAGTTTAGGATAAAATGACACTAATGGATTTATATCTTGAAGAGAATGATTAATCCTAAAAAGAACAAATTTTATCCTCGTTCCTAAGTACGTGAAAAGTTTTTATTTTTAGGTTCATTACTAATCCTTTTATGTAACATTTTAGGTCAAAGTATATTTTAAATATTGCTTCACTTACAGAGATGCATCTTGGGAATTAGAGGAAAATGCTTATCAAGAGCTTCTGCAGCACTATGAGCATTGTGATGTACGAAGATGTCGTTGCAAGGAAGGGAGAGACTATAATGTGCCTAATAGGTATATTGGGAAGTTCCCTTGTGCTTAATTAGTGTTCTTACTGAAACCTTCAGCTTAGTAAGCAGAGTTATAGTTAGTGAAATGTGTTTGCTTTTACAATGTTTGAAGTTCTATCTTGAGATGAGGTATATTGATTAAATGTATATTTGTATTTGTTCACAGAAAAATTATTGCACTCAGCATAATTTCAACTTATTTCCTTGGTACATTTTCATAAGGCTCTGTTTTCTAGTGCTGCGCTGTTCCTATATAATAGCCACTACGCATGTGGGTTTATTGAACACTGAAGACTTAGAATGTGTCTTAGTTTGCTAGGGCTACCATAGCAAAATACCACAAACTGAGTGGCTTAAACAATAGAAATTTGTTTTCTCACAATCCTAGAGGCCAGACCAAGATAGAGGTATCCACAGATTTTATTTCTTCTGAAACCAGTCTCTGGCATGTATATGACTCTTCTAGCTATATCTTCACATGATTGTGCCTGTGTCTCTGTGCAGTCAAACTGGATTACGGTCTACCCAGATGACCTTATTTTACCTTAATTATCTCTTTAAAGGCCCTATTTCCAAACACAGTCATATCGCAAGGTCCTGGGTTGTTAGGACTCCAACGTAAGAATTTTGGGGAGCCTATAACAGTAAGAAAAAAGAACTGAAAATATCTTAATAATGTTATATTGATTACATGTTGAACAAAATGATAATATTTTTGAAACATTCTGATTCATTTCACCTGTTTCTTTTACCTTTTAAATATGGCTCCTAGGAAAACTTAAATGACATACATGATTTGCATTATAGTTCTATTGGATGGCCCTGTTCTAGAAGTTAATTTAACTAGATTAATCTAGCAGTGTTTCTTTTGGATCACTATATGAAGGGTTTTGCATTTGAAATTTATTGATTATTCCTTTATAATGTCAGTAGATATTGACTCTAACCTTAATCAACAATCATTTTGTGCATTTTGTTTGTACAACACTGTGTTGGGTACTAGAAATCAAGAGTATCTTAATTTTTTAAGATGCAGTATAAAAAGTAACAAAGCCAGTCTTATAGGAAATTTCATTAAATGTTTATCTCTGTTATACAATAGTATTTGAACATGGCAAGGTGAAACTTAAAGTATAGAGCAGGATATTGGGAACCTTGTTCCTCATGGAAAGTGATTTAGCTGGATGGGCTACTACTTACCTGTGAAGACTCAGCTGAAGTCTTGGTAGCTTTGGAAGTTTTCCGCTAAGCAGCTGTTAGCACTCCTGATTTCCCATTCTGGGCTGGGTGTTCCCTTCACTATGCTTGTTATAATTGCATTGTTTTAATTTGTCTTTGTTGTTAGACTAAAAATTCTATAAGGGCAGAGATATCTTTGAAGATGTCGAGTAATGTGCATGTATATAACTTAATATGGTAACTCTTTACATTCAGTAATAATACCCCTCTCAAGGGTTGTGCTGAGGCACAGATAATGCAAACAATAAAAGCACTTTAGAGTTCTAAGAAGCATTGCATTTGTTAATATTGATATTTTCTAAATTCTTTTAGGCTGTTTTATTTAACTGATATACATATATATATATATTTTGTAAACCACTGGCCCATCAATAGGTACCAACTCCATTTTTTTCTGGCAGCTACTTGAGATTACCATCCCTTGCCTTTTCTCCTGGGACACAGATATGTGCTTTCTAAATGTTTTCTTTGTAATCTCTCCCCCTCATCCCAGTGACAGGAAGGTAGTTTTGCTGAAAGGCAGCATGGTATAAAGGTTAGCAGCATGGGTCTGGCGGCAGGTAAAGTGGGTTGGAAGCCTCACTCTTAGACTTACCAGCAGGGTGAACTTGATTGGGCAAGTTATTTACTCCTTTATGCCTTGGTTTTCTCTTCTTTAAGGAGATAACAGTGGTTTTCCCTACCTTGTAAAATGTGAGGATTAAACTTTTCATGTAGAGTAAGAACTGGGCCCAGTATATAATAAGCACTTGTGTTAGCTATCATCTTTCTTCTCATCATTAGTTGGCAGAACTATCTGGGGAAGGGGTCACTGGGACACAGGACGCACACCTGCATACCCATATCCACACAAAGGGAGCTTCGCCCACACACACCAGAGGGCAGGGTATCCAGTTACCTCTCTCGTCACCTACACGTCTACACAGTCAGGGAGTATATCCATTTTATAGAGAAAGTGTACTCATAACCAAATAAAGATGAGGCCCAACAACCCCCACTCACACCCAGACAGAAAATGTGAATATGGACCAGCACACATCATACAACATGGTGGTAGTGGGAGAACAGCTGAGAGAGAATACAAAGATGGGCCAGCTAGGGAGTCTGGGTCCTGTTGAGTGGACAGTACCTGAGATGTCTGAGCAAGCTTTTTATAGGAAATGATGCCTCATCTCAGGTGGGAAAGATAATATTTTAGCCATGGTACTATACTTGCTGAATGCTTCTTCCATGTCAGATACACTGGCATAGCAATTTTCCTATGAGCACAGTCATCTCCAAATATAAAAGAAACATTTTTTTCTTTAATCATATTCTTTCTGATGTGTATATTCTTTATGTATGTGCATCTTCATATATATGTACATATTTGAGTTAGAGAACATTTAGAGGAGCAGATTTAAACATAATGAAATAAAAAAAATGCTTTGAGGAAAAGTAATACACTATCAAAGCAGATACTGTACTTTACATCCTTTGGGTTGGTTGTGTGTGTGAGGCGGACAGTGAGGCCTGCGGCAGTGTGGGTGGTTGGAATTTGACCAAGTTAATACCAGAATGTCAACATCTGCTTCTCTTTATCTCTACAGCAAATGGGAAATAAAGCGCTGTCAGTGTTGTGGTTCTAGTGGAACACATTTAGCCTGTTCCTCACTACAGTCATGGGAACAAAATTGGGAGTGTTTGGAATGTAGAGGTATTCTCTACAATTCAGGTAATTATTTTGTAATTTTGAGTAAAGGTGTTCTTATTCAAATGTATATTATTAAAAAGTTTCTACCTATATTTCTGTTATGTTCACATTGGGTTTTAAATCTGCAGGGGGTTTCCAAAAAGCCAAAAAACATACATTACCCAACACTAACAATGTTGGAATAAATGATTGTTTGTTGGAAGGATCATCACCTAAATTACCCAGACAGTCACCTGGAGCCCAGCATAAAGATCTGCTGAGGTGTGTATTTTGAATTGGAGAAAAATATAAACCTCTAAGAAAATTAATTAGGAAGTGGCTATATACACTTAGAATATTAGCTGATTTTTACAGTGGTCTGGAAGAACTTTTTTCAAACAGCAGGACCCAACATTTGATTATGAAGTCATGCAACCAACATTTAAAAAAGAAAATGAAACAGGAATATAAAGTATCACATTGCATTGCAAATAGAAAGAATGTATGAAATACTTGTATTTTATCCTATACTGAGTCATGATGTAAAATGTTTTTTCATTATAGATTTTTCAAGATAGTTTAAAAACACGGATCTGGAAAATGTGCTCAAACTGTTATTTGGTTACAGAGAAAGACAGGAAAATAAAATAACATGGTACCATGTTACTTTGTTAAAAAGGAAGGAATCATTTAATATAGAGGGTTTTCTTTTTATTTTGTAATAGTTTGTTTAATGTATTTACTGTCAATGTCAGGTCTAATGTCAGCTGTGTTGGAAGTTTAAGGCATACTTACAAGTATTATTGTATTAATGCTTGTTTTCATAAGACAGAAAAATGAATAACTTCCAAAATCACGTAACCATTTAGGATAGAATTACATTTTTATACTGTGTCAGGTATTTGTTCAGCTAGTTAGGATTTTAAGTATATATGGCTTATAAAAAAAGTTTATAGAGCCTTGTTGTAGCCAATAGGAGAAAAATAGACTAAAGTAACATGAGTAGCTTAGCATGAGGAAATATTTTCTTGTTAAAAATAATATCAAGTTAAAACTTAGAAGAACAAGAAAAATTTTTTTTTTTTTTTGTCCTCACCCAAGGGCATGCTCTTTGATTCTAGAGAGAAGGGAAAGGAAGGAGAAAGAGAGGGAGAGAAACATTGATGTTAGAGAGAAACATCAATCAGTTGCCTCTCATACGTGCCTTGACCAGTACCTAACCCACACAACCTAGGCATGTGCCCTGACTGGAACCAAACGCACGACCTTTTGGTTTATGGGACAACGCTCCAACCAACTGAGCCACACTGGCCAGGGCAGGACGAGAATTTTTCTGAAAATATTTGATAACTAGATTTGCAGATAGAAGTTGAATACTATTCAAAAAGTGAACAATTGTTTTAAGGTACTGTATTAACTAAAATTTTGTTATAAATATTTTTATATTTTAGTGTCAAAAAAGATGTTCATGGTTTTAAGCAATTTTAATATTTAGGTTACTAAAGATATTATACCAAGGAAGTTTGATTCCTTGCTCCTGCTTTAATATTCCATCATATTCTAGAATAGCATTAGTATTCCCATTCCTGGCAGGAGCAAGGAATCGAATTGCTACAAAAAGCTGTATTTCTGAAGGATTATCTTGCAAACAATTTTGGTTTTGCTCAACCTGGGTTAATGAAAAGGGGGTTCTGTGAAGAAAGAAAAAAACAGGAGGATCCAAGATGGCAGCCAGTTAGGTAGAAGCTACACTAAACTTCCTGCCTGGACCAAACAGGAATTACAAGAATAAAACCTAGGCCACACTAGGCCATTATAGTATTTTAGTAGGGAAAAATTTATACTTGATGTAGAAAGATGATCCATGACATCCCCAAATAGGATCATTTTGAGTACATCAATTCTAGTTACAGATGGAGCAACTGAGGTAGGGAGCAATTGAGTTAGTCTATATAGTAGACTGGAACCCTACTTAAGGCAGGTTGTGGGGCCTCGTGCTCAGGGGTTCCAATTCCATTTATCCGCTGGGGGGCTTAAGAATTTGCATTTCTAACAAGTTTCCAGATGCTGCTGCTATTGGTGGTGGTCTGGGATCACAACCTGAAAATTACTAGTGTAGACTATAAAGCACTACTTATAGGGTTGTGAGATCTGTTTATATTAGTTATATTAATTAACTTTATCATTAAAAGTACATTGTAATTTCTTCAAAGTATAGTTATCTGGTATAGTAAGCAGAGACTATGTTTGCTCTATTATTAAAGGATCTAGTGAACATGAATTAAGATATAGTTAAGTGTATGTTGCAGCCATAGGCCATAAAGGTTTGGCTTCTGACTACCGAATTGATCAAATTTGAAATAATCATCTATCAACATACTCAAAATCATTTACAACATTAGATGATTTTAATTTGGTAGGAGACTGGGGAGAGAGGATAAAAAATTTTGAAATAAGGTTATCAAATAACTGTTTTGGGTTCCAGTGGCAGCCATTGTCTGCTTTTTGGGTGGGAGTTGGGAAAGAACTCCCTTTTTATCTTTTTTTTTTAATTGGCTGTATAACTGCCATGTCACATAAAGTATTTTAGAGTCCTTACCTCTGTGTTTAAACTCATGTTTTACAGGCAAGGCAACAAATTTAGAAGAGACATTTCAACAATAATTATAGAGTTAGGGTTTCAGATTGTTAAAAAAACTAAAAGATTCTATATCAACAAAGCGGACATCTGGAATAGTGCCCTAAATGGATTCAGAAATCAAAAGTTTAATCCTTCATACACAATTGAAGTAGTATATGTTAATGAAAATGATAATTTTGGAATAGAGCATTCTGGATCAAAGCAAGAATTTCTAAGTCGTTTAATGCACCATCTTGAGAACTCACCATTGTTTGAAGGGTCCTTGTCAAAGAACTTGTCCCTAAATTCTCAAGGTAATTGTTTATTATTGAATTTACTGACTATACCTTGTGTAAACAAAGAGATAGCAGGTTAGAATTGATACACAGTACATGTGATTAGAATGTATAATTTACTTTGTTAATAAAATACTGATAGAATCACAGAAATAGGGGGTGTGGAGAGTGATATTTTTAAAAGCAAATTTTGTAGTGAAACATTGTTTTTAAGAATGTTCTTAATTTCTTTATAGCAGTATCCTACTTGAAGTAATTCCATAATTAACTAACTTCTTAAAAATGTATTTTATATTTATTATAATTTTATTTGAATAAATGGCAAAATGGGATGGATGATCTAAGTCCTTCTTGTTCAGATATTTGGAATTTACAGTTGGCGTGTTTCTTCACAACCTAGGATTTTTATAACATAATTTTCTGGTCCACATGTAACAGATTTTTAAATGTACTTTTGCTTTCAAGAATTTTTCTTATGCAATTAATTATGTATATGATACTTTTCTGTCTTCTAGTGAGGAGTTAATGTGATTAAAACAGGCATCTCAAAACACTAGTTAATTCTAGCACTTTAGGAGCTTTCATACCACTTTTGCTCTAATGGGAAATTTGAAAGTAAGAAAACTTATTTCATTACAATTGAATTTCTTCCTACATATTCCCTAGAACTTCCTCACTGTTGCCTGAAGCATCATTGAAATAATTGAGAAACTATTGAGGATCATTTGTGCTATATACACTACATACAGTTCAATTCTAAACTTCCTTTAAGGGAAAAAGAAAAAAATTCCAAGTAATCAGTAATGTTAACTCAAGGTAGTTGTGGTACAGTGGAGAGTACTTGAATTTAAGGAACAAAATCTGAATTCATTTTATTCACATCACTTAAGTAGCTTTATATCCTTAGATTAATTATATAGTCTCTCTGGATTTTAGTTTCTTCTACTGTAAAATGTGACTACTAATACATAGCTTATAAAGTTACTGAGATTTTATTATTATTTCAAGTATTGTTAATATTGATTACTAAAAAGTTGCTTTGAAAAATTTTTAGAAACAATCAAGGAAAATTTACATGATATCCTTTTGACTTGATTGAATTAGCTAAAACATCTTAAATGACAACTGAAAAATATTGAAAGCTGTGATAGCATATACCGTTAAGATTAAATTTGTATCACTTTGGAACATAATTTAGCGCTATATATGAGTAACTTTAAAAATAGCCATATCCTTTGAGCCACTAATACTGTATCTATCCTAATTTATCCTAATCAAATAATCAAAGATATATATAAACAACAATAGGTAAATTGATGTTGATTGTATAATGTCACTCAGGGAGGGTACCAATAATTAAAGGGATGGTTTATATTGCTGCACATTTATAAGTTAATCTTAATGCCTGCCTTAACTGTAAATTTCAGTAATTTTGAATAATATAAAAAATGTATAGTAAAGTGGAAAAAGCAGAAGTCAAATTATTATGTAAATATTTATATACACACAAGATACAAATATGCCAAAGTATGTACATTGGTAATTATGGTGGTAGGCTCATAGGTGATTTTTTTTTAGTTTCTGTATATTTTTTCTACAATAGGTTGTTACTTTGTATTCAGAAAAATATTTTTTGTATATTTTATGTGAAACATTTTATACATGTTATAGCTTCCATGAATTATTTTTCATTTACCTAATGCTTAGGTTTTTTTTTATTTTTAATTTATTATATATGTATTCCTTATGTATGATGGTTATCTTATAATAATTAAAGTGTATTTGATGTATTTCCATCTATTTACAGCTCTCAAAGAGAATCTTTACTATGAAGCTGGCAAAATGCTTGCCATTTCTTTGGTACATGGGGGTCCTTCACCTGGTTTCTTTTCTAAAACTTTGTTTAACTGCCTTGTTTATGGACCAGAAAATACCTTACCAATTTTCGATGATGTTTCAGACTTTGACGTGGCACAGATTATAATCAGGGTAAGAATTATGCATGTTTATTAAAATGTAGTCCACATTCGCTCTGACCATTGTGGCTCAATTGGTTGGGTGTCATCCAACAAAGCAAAAGGTGGCTGTTTCATTTCCTGGTCAAGGGCACATGCCTAGGTTGTGGGTTCAGTCCCAGTTGTGGCACGTACAAGAGGCACCTGATTAATGTTTCTCTCTCACATCACTGCTTTTCTCCCTCCCTCTTCCTCTAAAAACGAATAAATAAAATCTTAAAAATAAATAAAATGTAGACTACATTCTAAGAATATTCAAATATACATAATGGATCTACAATAGAATAATAATATTCTGTGGACTAGTTAAGAGCTGTCAATATTTTTATTTACCAGCAGAGTTCATAACCAGTCAAAAGGTAGATGTAAAGGTAAGACAGTTAGGGATTAAAATCCCAGGTTTAATGTTGATAAAACCGTTTGGATAATGTGACTTCAATCTATAGCAAGAATGGCTTGCTAACATTTCTCAGAATGAGATGGATTTATCTACCCCGTCAGAGACAATGGAAGGCAGATTTCTTGTTGCATGCTATATAGTAGATGAAAGTATGCTTTCCTGCAGGTGGGCAGTGGATCTGAAGAGAGCAAGGAATTAGTATTCCAGTCAGAAAACTTCTGCTTCCTGCTGTAGGGACATATGGGTGCTAGGTTAAGAGAAAGACCAGGATAAATTTTTTCTGTATGGCAACAAGTGGGGAGACTCACTGTTCCCAACTAAAAAATGTTAATGTTTATTGAATTCTGTACTGCATATGTTATATGTACAAACTCAATTTAGTTATCACAATGCTGTATAAGTGTGTCATTGCTTACATGTTACTGATTTGGAAGCTAATTGAGGTAATGAAAGCCATTCACCTTTTCTTCCTTTAACCTTCTTCCTACTTAAGCCTGCTGTATCCATTCATTGTCTCAATTAATAAAGCAGTATAGTTTAATGGTTAAAAGCAAATGCTTACAAGTCAGATTTTAGATTGAAATAACTAGAAACTATAAGCTGTGTGACTTGGGCAATGAAGTTAGGCTTAATTTTCTTAAGCCTAACCTTATCCTCACTTCCTCTTTCCTGTGGATTTCTTAACTTCTTAGAGGGAGACCTCTGTTCCCACCATCACTCTCTCCAAGTTAGCTAGTTCATAATCCAGGGATCTAGACCTTCACACTCAAATATCTTGCCCTTTTTTTTTCTCTCTAATCTCCTTATCTCCTTTGATTTCTGCAATCACCATTGTCATCAAATTCCTCTCTACTGTTTCCTTTAATATTGCACTTCCTTATACTTCTGACTATTTTGTCTTTTTTAATGCTTCTTCCTACCCCTCAAATTTAGGTGTTTTTCAGTGTTGTCTTAACAGTCCTCATTCTGTAGTATTTGGAAAGCTTCTGCTCACCCATAACCTTTCTAAGTGATTCCCAGACCTGTATTTGTGAGCCCTTAGACTCTCTTCCTGTTTGATGTTTGTTTATTTAGTCAACAAATACTACATACCCAGGACTGTTTTATCCCTGAGTATAGAGTAGTGAACCAAAGTCCCTGCCTCTTTGAAATTTACCTTTTAGAGGGAAGACTGAAGATAAACAAATAAATATATAATATATAGTTGACCTTGAAAAACATGAGGGGCTAGGGGCACCTAACACCACACAGTTAAGAATCCAGATATAATTTTTGATTCCCCCAAAATTTAACTATAATTAAATACCTTGGTATCCGCTGGGGATTGGCTCTTGGACTCCCTCCCTCCCTGCCCCCACAGATACCAAAATCTTCAGATGTTTAAATCTCTTATATAAAATGTCATAGAACAATGCATACAGTCAGCCCTCCCCATTTACTAATGCAAAACCATGGATGCAGAGAGATGATAGTATTGAAAAAAAATCTGCACAAGTGGACCTGCACAGTTCAAACCTGTGCTGTTTAAGGGTCAACTGTACTATTATGTAGTAAAATATGTTGTAAAAATAAGACTGAGAAAGGAGCTAGAGAATGATTGGGGTATAATAAGTTAAAGCTTAGGCTAAGCTGCTAAAACAAAGAGATCCAAAAATAACCAATGTCTCAAAAAATGGCAGATATTTGTTTCTCAAATCCGTTGTCTAGATTTTAGGGATAGGGATTGGCAAACTATGGCTATATAAGTCAAATTGGGTCTGCTGCCTCTTTTTGTAAAGTTTTAATGAAACACAACACAGCCATTTGTTACACATCTGCGACTCGTTTTGCAATGGCAGAGTTGAGTAGCTGTGACAAATATGTCCAACAAAATATAAAATGCTATCTGATTTTTACAGAAATGACTCCTGACTCCTATTTTAAAGATATAGCTATGGTACACCTAGTCATCCAGGAAACTGTATTTTATCCTCTCATTGTTATGTAATCACTTAGGATAGTGTCAGCATCTCCATGGCTCAAGCTTTGTGTTAAGGGAGAAAGTGGAGTACAGCAATGCTTGATACGTTTTTCATTCACATCCCATTTGGACACCCTTAGTCACATATGGCCACATCTAGCTGCAAGGGAAGTTTGGCTGTGGGCCCAACTAAAATTCTTGGTGGTGGGTTTGGGAGGATGAGGCCATATATACCCACAGAGTGTGAAGGTAATATTTTGAACCAGGTAGTCAGGAAGAACTTGGGGGACTTCAGCAGAAATCTGAAATGAATGAATGAATCATATAAATCTTGGGGAGAAGAGGATTTTGAAAAGAATAGCAAGGAAATTTTCCATTCGGTAGATTATTGACTGCCTCCTATTTTTATCTTTCATCCTCTGTGACTTTGTTCAAGAGTTAACCTATATGAAAGTGTCTGGCACATAAATGGTCAAGTATTCCTTTGTTTATGCTGTGCACTGAAATATTCTTTTGATCGTATTCATCTAAGTCATCTGGTAATTCTTTTCTTCCATAAAATCTCAGGTTCTCTCTCCTGCCTCTAGTGTTGTGTAACTGTTCTATGTCAATTACTGTGTTTTATATAAGTAATTGCCTGTATTAAAGTGGCATTATACTCAAGGTTTCTTGAAGGCAGAAATATACCATGTTTATTAAACTAAATTGTCAAATATTCTAGAAAAATAATTATTTGGTATGCTTTCACTCCACCTTGGTGTACTCAAGAATTGAGGATAAAGTAGTATGTCATTTGAAATGTAAATAACATTCACAAGTGAAAGGGGAAACTGGGTATATTTTCTTCTTCCTTACAGATAAATACTGCAACAAATATAGCTGACTTAAACTCAGTTATGAATGAGTGCTATAGCTACCTAGAGTTTATTGGATGTCTAAGACTTATAACATCATTAAGTGATAAATACTTACTGGCAAAAGATATACTTGCTTACCATGTAATTAAGAGAGTCCAAGCACCTTTTGAAAGGTAAGTTATTTATATGTGAAAGATTCTCTCAAATTACATGTTAACTGTCTTATAATGTGAGATATATTTGATAAAAAATTTAAATGTTATTTTAAAACAATGCTTTAAAACTAACCTGTTACAGATGATTACTCTTCTGACCATTCTAGACTTGCATAAGTATATGATACTTACGTAGGAAAAGTAATCATTGTCTCAATTTATAATTATTTTTCTAAGTAAAAATTATTTAAAAATTCCTACCACATAAGCCAACTATTTCATCTCTACTCACTCATTTAATAACTACAATATATATTGAGCACTGTAGTCTGCTGGGTAAGAGGTACTAAGTGTTCTTTGATTAACACGGTAGATAGGATTCTTGCTTTAGCTTAGAACACTGGTCCTCAAACTTTTTGTTCTTCAAGCTTTGAAGAAGCTTCAAAATTTCTATATGCCCTCATACTTTTTTTTTTAAATATTGAAAAACAAAATATACACAAAAACGGAATGGTATACCATGTGATCAACCATTATCTAACAATTATCAATCAACCTGTGGCCAGTCTTGTTCATGGATCCTACCATTGCTGTTAACTCCAGTATTATTTTCAAGCTATTATCAGACATCATGTTATCTCCAAAGTGATCATGTTTGTTTTTTTTTTCAGTATCATTAATCCATAGATCTGAATATACTTGTGTTGAAACTGTTAGAGCTATTATCTTTACTGAAGTTCAAATTGTCTCGTTTTTGGCCAGTATAAGCCTTTTTATGTTGTTTCTTTGAGAGTTGTTTTTTTTTTCTTTTGTATGTTGACCCTTAATGGTCTTTGATAGCCATCTTGCCATATGGTGTAATAATGTGTTTCAGTCTCATTTTGTCATTTTGATCTGAAGGATCTTTGTTTCTTTCAATGGGAAATGATATTTTAAAACTACAGTTTTGATCTAGGAATGTCAGGTTGGTCATTGTTTCTAGGCCTTTTCAGTGGACCAAACTGGGAAATGCAGGTGTTTTTGTTTTGTTTTTGTTTTTAAGATAAAATATATTATGAGTTTATACTGATACTTCAAATTCACTACTACAAGATGTTTAACTTTTTCTGTCCCATATTGAAAGATCCCAGGTCTTAAAGGCACTGAAGAATTAGAATATGAAATGATTACTCACTTGACTTATTCCACATTTTATAAATAATAGTGTTAGAATAACAATGCCAACATTATTACCAGTAATAGATATTGAAAACAGGTTAAAATTATTTTTTTGTTATGTTCTGGGCTGTTATCATCAAATTACTATGTTTTAAAGTCATTTGTAATAGTTCCTTTCTATATTATACTACTAAGTGGGTATACTCTTTTATTCATTTTTTATTTTTAGTGGTTTCAATTAAAATTTGATTTTTTAAAAATGTTATGTAAAATATTTATGTGGTCCCAAAGTCAGATCTATAATGAAAGGGTATTGAAAGAACTCAGCTCTATGATAGAAATTGTATTCAATGAAATACAGCTTTTCTCTTTACCACATCTGCCTCCTATGCCCTTAATGAAGTAATCATTTTAGTGGCTTTTATTGTTTATCCTTTCATTTTTTTTTTCAGTAATAGCAGATAAATATGTGAGTATATGTGTATGTGTACTCACTTATCTTAATTGGATAAGATACCATCCACCCTTTTTTTCCCCCCTGTTCATTTTTGACTTGTCAATTTATTCTGGAGATTACTCAGTGGTAGTAAACAGACCTAATCCTCAGTCTTTGTAAGAGCCCTACAGAAATCTGTTGTTTTGATGTATCATTTTTGTTTTGTTTTGTTTTGTTTTGAACCAGTTTTCTATAGATGTATATTTGAGATTTTCCCTAGCACTCTTACAAATTAAATATGACATCATAAGCTTAAATAGTTTCAAAGGATATAATTCCCAATATATTTTTAATATTGCAATTTAAAATAACAGTTATATAGCTCTTTTAATAGTTTTCATTTCCATGATCGTTTTTGTTTCATCTTTCTTGCTTTCCTATGGGTTGAATTTTTAAATTTCATTTTTATTTAGAGTGCTGTTGAGTGTGTGTCTTTGTGTAGTTTTTAAAAAACCTAAGTCTACTGTTGTCAACATTTTATAAGCCTCGCCTCTCTTTAAGTCTCTTTGCCTTTCGCTGTTTATAATGTAATTTCTTCCACATACATTGTGAAACACTTTATAGGATGTTATAAATTTTGAGTCAACTATCAAACATAATTTAGAAAACAGAAGGCAGCATGCTTTCAGTTTTATTTATTTCTTTGTTCCTGATATTCCAAGAGTATACCATTAATAACTCACTTTCTGTTTCAAAAAATTCCTATAGGCATTATTTTAGGGTAGATCTGCTGGTGACACATTTCTTAGTTTTACTTCATATAAGAATGTCTAGATTTCCTCTTCGTTCTGCTGTGGTGTTCCTTGGGTCCTGAGATACCCAGCTGATCTGCTTTCATCTCTCCATCTTTCAGTCTTCTTACATTTGTTTTATATATAATGTCTAGGGTTTTTACTGTACTTAGCAGAAAGAGCAGAGAAAAATATGTCTATTCCATTATTCCATTACACAAATGCCTGTGATCATTTTTCAACACAGAAAAGTTATTTGATTCATTTTTTTTCAGTTGCTTGTTTTCATTTTAAATCACTGCACTAATACTTTACTTCATTCAGTTTGTTTTTTTTGAGTGCTATTCCCAATACTTGCTTTAATAGATGTTTGCATGTTTTGTCTTCTGTTGGGAAATCCTCTTCTTTAGCAATGTGTCTTCAGCATTCCCATTAGGCACAGGCTGTAGAAATTTCTCAGCACAGCTGCTGTGTATTGCTTTTGCCTGGCACTCTACTTACAAGAGCTATGAATCATAAAACCAATTACTTATTAATATCTTTGCTTCACATGGGGGTCCATGCAGAATTTGGCAAAATTTTGGTTTCCTTGTTATTTCCGCCATCTGTAAGACTTTTCTTATAAGTTCAGATGTATATGTAAAAGGTTATTTTTTTGCTATATAATTTTTTTATCTTTTACATAGGAGAGATTACTCTTCAGCTTTTCTCTTGCCCTCTTCATGTTGATCTGCCTAACTCCCATTTATCATTCAGTTTTAATTTAAACACCAGTTACATAGATTAGGGAAGCCCTCTCTGAAATCTAGATTAGTGATATCTGTGAAAAGAAAACAAAACAGAAGAAATAAATGATGAATTCTCTGACTTAGCAACCAGAAAAATCCATCAGAAAAAATCCATCTGTAGATACATGAACTATTTGGGGAAATAAACATTGTGTACAGCTATCTCATTAAGAGATGCACTTCAAAATTTAAAATAACCACATCAAAATTTATACTATGTTGGGCTATTCTGTGTATTAACCATAATTATAAATGGTAATTCTATTCATAAGAAAATTATACTACTTAAGAGTCTTATTGTCAGGACATTTGGATACATTTAATAATGGTCCCAAAGTGCAAAAGTAATGATACTGGCAATTCAGATACGCAAAGAGAAGCTATAAAGTGTTTCCTTTATGTGAAAAATTGAACATTCTCAACCTTAGTAAGGAATAAAAAAAAAATCAGCTGAAGTTGTTAAGATGTATAGTAAGAGTGAATCATCTGTGAAATTATGAAGAAGGAAAAAGAAATTTATGCTAGTTTTGCCATTGCACCTCAAATGGCAAAATTATAGCCACAGTGTGTAAAAACTGCTCAGCTAAGATAGAAAAGGAGTTAAATTGTGGATAGAAGATATGAGCAGAAAATTTGTTCTGAATGATGGCAACACACTGGACCAGAAAACATTGAGCTTATATGAAGACTTCGGCAAGGGATTCCTGAACAAGTGACACCACGCCATTTACTTCAAGTAAGGGTGTGGTTACACAGATTCAAGAATAGTTTTGGTCTGAAAAATAGAAAGGTTACTGGAGGGGCTGTGTCTGCTCACTGCCCATAAAGAAACTGCTGCCACATTTCCAGCAGAGTTGAAGAAGTTGATTACTAAGAAGAAAGGTTGTGTGTACAGGAGAAAATATAGTATATTAGGGTTTGTTACTATCCATGGTTTCAGGCATCTACTAAGGGGTCTTGTGGAGCTACTGTACATGGAGTCACTTAATATTTTAAATATGCCTATTAAAATCTTAAGAGGTAACTTTTTTTAAGAAAGATTTCATGCAATTAAAATAAATAAGAATTTTAAAAAAGTAAATATGAAAATTGGCACCACAGCAGAACTAAGAAAAAAATATTTTTTAAAAGCAATACAATTGGCCCTGGCCGCGTAGCTCAGTTGGTTAGAGCGTCCTTCTGATAGATACTCCAAGGTTGCAGCTTCAATTTCCAGTTAGGGCACATACATGAAGCCACCAATGAATGCATAAATAAATAGAACAACAAATTGATGTATGTTCTCTCTCTCTCTCTCTCTCTCACACACACACACACACACACTCATACTCTCACTCTCCCTTCCTCTAAAACCAAGTAAAAAAGTAATTTTTAAAAAGCAGTACAATTGCCCAAAGTGATAGAAATAGTTCCCTAATATAGTAATAGTTACAAGTGAAAATTACTCTTCAAAAACCAAGTTGCAGAAAAATAAATACAGTGTTGTACCATTTATAAACATTTCAGAACAATCAGAGCAATGCTATTATTTGGGGATACATACATAGTGAAATGAAAATAAAATGCAGACTATAGTAAAAATTTTAGGACAGTAGTTAAACAACAATTTTAAATAGTTTCCTTTGTAGAGGGAGAGAGGGGAAAGTGATAAGAGGACAGGATTTAGTTGAATGAATAGAATATTTTTCATAAAAATAATATGAGCAAACAAAATGTTCATATCTTTTAATTCTAGTGACAGTTTGTGGTTTTCTATTATTTCTTGGATTTTTATGTAAGCTTGAAATATTTCCTAATTTAAAAAAATTTTAAGGGTGAACTTAATTTTGACTGAAACTTGCTTCAAAGATAAATGGAAGGTGAAGGTTAAAAGCAGGAAAGAAAGGCAAGGGTGGCACTGTGGAGGGCCTTGGAAGGCATGGTAAGGAGTGTGGACTTTGTTTCATGGACAAGTGTGTATATCGGTCTCTTGTGGCTGCTGTAAAAAATTATTATAAACTGTGTCACTTAAAATAACAGAAATTTATTCTCTCACAGTTTTGGAGCATCAAAGTCCAAATCCAGGTGCTGGCAGGGCTACACTCCTCAGAATTTAGAAAAACAGTCTATTCTTTGTTATGCCCAGGTTCTAGGGGCTTGTGGTTGTGTAACTCCAGTTCTTTGAATCTGTACCACATGGCCTTTTGTGTCTGTGTGTCTCTTACAAAGATACTTGTCATTGGATTTAGGGCCAGAACATATATAATCCAGATAGGATGGTCTCAAGATCTCAGTTATATCTGCTAAAACCGTTTTTCCAAGTAAGGTCACATTCGTAGGTTCCAGGGACTAGGACGTGAAAATATCTTTGACGGAGCGGGGACCTCCATTCAACCTACCTCAGGATGACAGTATTGGGTTTATTTCTGGCACATACCTGTGGCTATAGCATGAACTTGGAGATTTATATACCTGGTACAACAGTTCCTCTGCAAGTGGTTTGTAATAGGGTGGTAGTGGGTATATGGAGGAATGAGCAGATAAAGGGATTCAGAAAAGAGAGTTTATAGGACTTGGTAATTAGGAATGGAAGAGAGAGCAGTTAAGGTTGACTTTCAGATTTAGCTGTATTAATTTGATAGATGAAATGGAGGCATTTACTGTCCCTTATGGTTCAGATTTTGGTAGTAAGGAATAACTTTCTTTTGGACATCATAACCTAGGTGCTTGGAATTTGTGGTGCCCAGTACTCTGTTGGATGTATTTCTGGAGAGAGTAGATTTTATAGTGATGAGCCTATACCTGGTAAATGAAGCCATGGGAGAAATTGGCCTTGTTACAGACCCATGAGGGACAAACAACAATAGGCAAAGGAAAGAAAAAAGCTTTTTGTAAGAGACTGAAATGGGTCTGGTCAGACAAAAAGGAGGAAACCAGGAGACTGGTGCCAAAGAGGAAGATCATTCAAAGGCAGTTTTTCCTGAGATGTAGACAAAAGTGGAGGAAAAGTGAATGGAAATTAGGAAATGGAGACAGTGAATAGAGATGTCTTTCAAGTAGGTTGTAATGAAGGAAACTGATGGAATTGACTGAATTTTTTTTCCTTATTCAAAATGGGAAAGACAAGCACATTTATGCACTCCTGAGGAAGAGCCAGTAGAAAGGGAGGTGGATCAGTGTGGAAGGGGACCTGTGATGGGGAGTCCAGAGCCACAGATGGGGCCTAGTCAGTCTGACAGCACCTTCATGCTTTCCTTACCAGTGAGAATGTACGTTTTTTAAAAAGCCATTTGTTACTTGCATTTCGTTAATTATGCATTTTGCTCATTTCCCACTGGATTGTTCTTTTAGAAAAATGATTTGTATTTTTTTGTATATTTAGAAATTAGTTTTGTCATGAATATTATAATTTTCCCACTTTGTTTCCTTTGTTAATTTCTTTTTAGCTATGTTTTAAATTTTTATGTTGCTACGGTTTGCAATTTTTGCTTTCGCTAGTCAATTTCATTTTATACTAACTAGCTTTGACATGTAAAATACTTCAGATGTCTACTTTCTTCCTCTTAAAAATTGTTAGTTTAATTTTAAAACTATACAGCCAGATATTGTAGATATATAAAAGCTTTATTTTATATTAAAATATTGCTTATTTGAAAGTATCATAGCACATACAGTATACCCATACTTTTTTATCGTTTTCCTTTCCTCTCTGTATATGTGGTAGTAAATTAGCTAGAAATGTTAATTCCGTATTGTAATATCAAACACATGTATGAATGTTCACTCATTACTTTTCTTCTCCTAAGTTTTAAGCAGGGTCTGAAAACTCTTGGTGTTTTGGAGAAAATTCAGACTTATCCGGAAGCATTTTATAGCATCTTTTGTCATAAACCTGAGAATCTTTCTGCAAAAATCCTTAGTGATCTTTTTACAGTACACACATTATCTGATGCACAGTGTTTGGGGTTTTGGAACAGTTACTTACAGGCTGTTGAGGGTATGTAGATGTTTTATTTTTACCTAACTGTCTTAGACTGTTTGTTTCAGGATTTTAGTTTATTTCTTTTGAGTTTTGCTTTTTGATAATAAGAACTGTCATTGGCTAACTCCATATTTATGAAACATTTAAAAACAAGTTTATATGACTTGAGTTGAAAGTGACAAGGAAAGGTTACACAGTAAAGTTTTCCTGTATATAATTTGAAGTGAAAGGCATTCTTCCTAGGAATTTTAAATATATGGGTGATTGCTACTGCATAGAATAGCCTAAAAGCTAACTGCCTATTTCATCTTTTTCATACTTAAACTGAATTATTCTTCATTCATTGGTTAGGGCCATGATAGTGAGTGATATTTACCATTGATCATTAGCAATGTGAAATCATTTTCTTTAATAGAGTGGGAAAAATTAACTTTTAGTTAAATCTCTTAGCTAGGTTTTTTTGTTTGTTTGTTTTACACCATTTAGTTTTTCTCTGTATTTGTTGAATTCAGTACTTTTTGACTGGTATGACTCAAGAGGCACACTGGTAATGCACAGGAGTTCTTGAAACATGCAATGCCTGACTATTTAGTCAGGGGCACTGACCTCTTTTCCCTTACATTATCAAATTAAAAAATAACAACAGCCAACACAATAGCTGCCCAGTGTAAATGAATCAAAATTATACCTATTTTTTGTCAGATTGGCAAAAATATATTTTTTGGTGTGCTGCAAATTTTTAATAATGAGTGGTTGTGTGTGTCATGAAATAAAAATATCTTAAAAATCGCTGAACTAGTTTATCAAACAGTGATGCCCTAGAAATAGTTTAAAATTGTTTTTAGCATCATATTCCAAAAAGATAGAGTTTCATGACTGAACCTTTTGTACTCTATGATAATTTTATATTAGAGAAGGCATTCAGATATACAATAAGTAGTTCAACTAAGTGATGATGTGAGTCTTACTTTGAGATTCAAATAAACATTTATTGAAAGTACTGTTTTCCTTTTACTATACTTGACTTAGTGATTTAATTTGCCTGAGATAAATGTGGAAGTCCCTGCCTTTCAACATTCCCAATTGAGTTGGGGAAGAGTCATGATGGTAGCAATATATACTGAATTTATTTTTCTTTCTCTTTCTCTTTTCGGTAAACTTTTCAGATGGTAAATCTGCAACAACAATGGAAGACATTCTTGTTTTTGCAACTGGTTGCAATTCCATTCCACCTGCAGGATTTAAACCCACTCCTTCAATTGAGTGCCTCCATATAGATTTTCCTGTTGGAAACAAGTGTAATAACTGTTTAGCTCTTCCAATCACCAAGACATATAAAGAATTTCAAGAAAAAATGGACTTTGCCATAAGAAACACTCTAAGACTAGAAAAGGAAGAAAGTTCTCATTATATTGGACATTAACATGTTTTGAACAAAGAGATGCTTCTTTAAAAGCTGCTATGGATATTTTTGTTTCAAGAATCTGTCCATCATCACTGTTGAACACACTTCTGAGCTTCTTGGTCCAATAAAATTGTTGATGTGAACATAAAGGAATATTTTGGCCATTTAGGCTAAAAAATATTTTGTTAAGATGTACCAAAGTTGATGTTTTTCAATTTTGTTAGTATACATGCTTTATAATGTTCAATATAATTACTTTTAGGATGTCTGTACAGACTTTCTTCAAGTAAAGTAGCATGGTATATATAAGAAAAAGACTTGTATTCACTGTTTGTGTAAATTTGGATTAGCTCTAGGATGCTACAATGACTTTTCTCTAGCTTTATGCAATTTTCAAATTATTACTTATTTTATTTTAAAGCATTAAATAGGAAAGCTAATTGATAAATCCTGTTATATAAATCAAAGGCATATATTCTGGGATATGTGTTATAATGTATCCTTTTCTAGGATGGCACTAAATTGGTTGTTAAAAATGGTGGTTGTTGTTTTTTTAAGTTTCTGATTTATATTAAAATAGACCCACACTGCAATTAGATTATGCCTTATGGGAAGTATTACATAAAAAGCAGAATTGCACAAATATTCTACAATCTATGTACATTCCATAGTCTTAAAAACACTTCCGAGGTGGATAAAATATAGTTGAAAATACTAAGAAACTGTCTTCTTTAAAGCTTTGGCTTTATCACAGGATTTTTTTTCATGTCTGATCCATAATTGTTTCAGATATTTGAATGATCTCTGTGGGGTGTCATGTGGTAGGTTTGGCTATTTGACAGTTATTTATTATTGAGATGGTTCTATGATAAATAAGCTCACACCATTGCATTCCTATTAATCTCTTTTGCTCTTGAAAGATATCTATTATTATATAGGCAATGTAGAAATATATAAGAAAGAAATACAAATAGAATGAAAAACCCATTCTAATCTCACCATGCAGAATTAACTAATTTGTTTCAGTATACTCTTCTATAAACTCTCGTTTCCTTTTTTAACTTTATTACTGTTACTAAAAGTCAAAGAACATTAACATTTATTAATGTTACCTAAAAGGAACAAGAAATCATGCAATAACATTTGAAGATTATGTCCCTGTAGTCATGTCTCCGTATTTATATACACTTTTGCAAAAGAAGAAATTGGAAAAGTCTAATGTCTCTAAAGCTATTATCAAATATAAATGGGTTTTCTACCAATGTAAATCATATGAAAGGTAAATTGCTTAATTGTAATTGCAATTTTTTTGATACGCAGAGCAGGTATCAGCTGTCATCACATCCTCATTCTCCCCAAGAAATATCTTCAAGTTACTGATATTTTTAAAGAAAAATAATATGACTGATTTGATGTTGATTATGTATCTCTTAATACTAAGGGAAAACTAAAACATAATCCTAGTGTAATTTTCTTTGTTATACTTACTAGCAGATTGAGCAAATTAACGTTTCACTTTCATTTGAATTTTTAAAGGATGTTAAACAAGGCAATGCTTTGTCTTGTGTTAATTTTAGATTATTGAAAATAATTGAAGGACCTATTATCAAAAAAGTTTTAATATCTGATATAAACCTCAAACTTGCCATATAGCTTTTATTTCAAATGTGTTGATAAATTGGGTATTTTATTTCTTAACGTACCTAGTTTTATAAAATTTAAAAACACATTATACCAATACAGACAAAAAATCAAAACTATTTTCTGGTTCTTTGTAGTTTTAATTAATTTCCCCTACAATGGTAATTAAGCTGATGATCACTCATACTTTTTAGGTGAGGAGGGTAGCAGGGAGGAAGCAGGATTGGTTTGACTACAATTAAAAACAGCATTTCCCTTCCTCATTTCACTTACTTTATGCATAGACAGTGCTTTAGGGATAAGGGGGTGTAAATAATCACTTAGGATATTCACAGTTTAAACTGAAGCATAAGTGTTCATATTGAAAAATATTTTCTGGTTTTAAGGATGTTCCATTAGTGTGATTTTTTTTTTAGATTAATCTGTGTAATCAGGGCATATCAGAGAAGCCTGTAGGTTATTTGTTTTCTGCACTGTTGCTATATCACATGGTTGGTACTGATTATTTTTTTCCATTCATTGTTATAGCCAGTGCACAGTTCTTACTGATGTTTATGTTAAAAGGAATAATGTTATAGGCCTTTATAATATGTGTATGTATTTTTTAAATATTTCAATCTAAATGCCATATTTTTCAAGCTTGTTTTCTATTGCTTTCAATACCAAGGAAAATCAGAAATTTGCCTACTATGCATCTACTGTTAATGGGTTTTGGTTTTTTAATATTAATTGCTTTTAAACAGTTTTTAAAGTTTTTGGTTGAGAATATCTGAAAGCCTTTTATACAATTTTCTACTATTATACTTGGTTGTTTTAGTATTTAAGGTAAATATTCTGTAAAATTTTAGAAACTAGATTCTGATTTTATATTTTGTCATATTTAATTCCCATATTATGAATAAGCCATTCCTTGTTTGGGTCAAGTAAAAAGCCTTCATTTGATTATTAAATTGAGAAATCACTTTGGCTTCTACTTTATACCAAAACTTATTATAATTTTTTCCCTAATCATATGGAAGATAGTGGAACTTTTGTATTTGATGTTTAATGCTCAGGAGAGTATAATAGATAAGCTTTTCAGTGACTCTGCCTTTAGCATTTAGTCATTGTAAGAAAATTATTAAAGCAAGATTCTATTTATAAATATGTAATCTTTTATATGTAGTCATTATTACATGCTTCATTGTTGCTTTTACCGTAAGCAATTAAACTGGTTTTTATGCTTCAAGAAATACAAAGTTTTATGCTTCAAATAATTCAATACAAAGCATAAGAACATGTTGAATGATGGATTCCTTGAATGTGTATTACATGTAGTTTAGGACTATTTAGATTGCTTTGAAGAGATGCAATGTTTAAGTTCTCATTTTGACTATTTTTCAGTTGTCAAACATATTTTAATACCTACTCTATGCCAGGTATTGTACTAGGTGATAGTTATTTGTCAGCCTGTTCCTCTCCTTTTAAAAAACATGAGATGTAACCAAAAAACACTACACTTACTTATAATGAAGTTTTCTAAATAAATATGTTCATGCTACTAAACATGAAGTGCTTACATAAACTCAATTAGGTAACTTGACAGGATTTAAGATTCCAAAAATATTAAGTAGATAGAACATTCTTTTCTCTCTGTATATGAGAGGTACTGCAGTCGTTGGCTTACACCTAGGAAGCTCTCTTGAACGAACTGTTCTGAGTTGTTGTATGTTAAAACGACCCCCTAATGAAAAATAAGTTTACCAGAATTAATTATTTAGGCCAAAAATATGGGTAGGTAGAGTTGGTTAAAGGATACAGTTAATTAGGTTAACTGAACCTCAAGCAACAGTTTGATATTCCTGATTCTAATAATATGTAACAAATACTTTGTCTTAGCCTTACAGAGCCTATATGTCTACTGCTACTGATCTGCGGGGCATAATTTTCTATACATTTATTGTCCACATTATGTGCACTCCTTGTTCAGGACAATTTTTACCATTTCCCATGTAGATACTGTCTATAAATGTTAAACATTTTCTTAACATTTTAATATGACAGAGTCTTAGGGAAAAGACTGATGGAGCTGAAATGGTTAAATGATAGATTTGTATTTGAGAGGACAAGTACTCAAATGAACAAAATAGGCTTGTAGATTTTGGAAAGTAGGAAAGCCTGTATATTTTATAGTCTATGGGCACAATAAATGAAGTAGAACTTTCCCATAGGCAGGAACTGTCATTTCTGTTTAAACATACCTAGATAATTGGTGATTCCTTCAAAATATTGGTGATAGCACTGAGTAAAACTGTAAATATTCTAGTTAAATTCTTAGTGAATATGCCAATTAGCCATAAAAAGGAGAGAGAATGCAATTCTTAAAGGCTTATAACCTTTACCAATCTCTCCCTATGCCCCCAGCTCCCGGCCCCTGATAACTACTTTTCTGCTGTTTCCATGAGTTTGACTTCTTAAGAGATTTTACATATAAGTCATACAATTCAGTAACAAGCTTTCAGCTTCAAGATGAATTAAGGTCTGAGAATCTAATATATTACATGGTGACTGTAATTGATATCTGCATTATATAATTGAAATTTGCTTAGAGTAGAACTTAAGTTCTTATATATATGGTGATGGTTGTGATAACTAGATGGTGTAATCCTTTCACAATGTATATGTATACCTATCATCACAATGTACACCTTAAATATCTTACAAATTTTGTCAACTATTTCTCCATAAAGCTAAAAAATAAAATTAAAAAATACACAAAGAAAAAGAATGTAGGCTCAATTCTAGGGTGTTTTCTAATGGTGTTTAAAATAAGATCATCTCTCTTGGCCCTGGCCTGGTAGTTCATTTGGTTAGAGCATCGCCAGATAAGCCAAGGTTGTGAGTTCAATCTCCTGTCAGGGTACATAAAGAATAAACCAGTGAATGCATGAATAAGTGGAACAACAAATCAATGTTTCTCTCAAGCATCATAATTGTGAAATAGAGAAGCTAATGTTTTATTATAAAAATGTGCTTTTTGTATAATTTTTAGGATAACTTTTAACACAAATTTGAAAGTTGTTTTCGAAGCAGTTGAGGCACAGGGTCTAAAATTTCATTTCAGAACTTGGTGCACTTTATAATAAACATATTCAACAGCTAAGGCAGTGTCAGTGAACTCTACTGAACATAAGGAAAATGAGTTTTCATTGTGTATTTTTACATCCAATAAAAGTTATGGATTAAATTCGCAATCAAGTTTTAGATACATTTGATCACATGGCTTCAAGTGTATATTAAAACATCACCATCCACCTACACGATTTTCCCCTAATATAATGATTTGTGATTTTGCAGTTAACACAAAGGATAAGAGGAAATAGCAATTTGCTGTTATGCACCCTTCTGACTCTTGTGTTCATGTAAGCAAAACAACACCATAAAGATAAACCATTTTGCCTGATAGGCTGACACGGGGAAAAAACGTTGCTCCGGGAAAGGGGATCAAGGAAA